GCTGAGTGTATCCACCGACACAAATAAATGATTGAGATCTTTGATGCGTCGGACCACCAACGAATAGGAGAGAGATATGGTACACCACCGCGCGGCATACGATAAATTAACTGTAAACACTAGCGCGATGTCGCGCCCACGACAGAGTCTTTATTATGTCGCGAAGGCGTCGGTAGATTTAAAAAAGTGAAAAGGGACGGAGAAACGACGGAGACAAAGGAAAATCGTAGAAGCCTCATTGGCGAATGCAGATTTATCTCGCGGTATTATCTCGCGAGGATGCGCGGATAAACGTCGACAGCGAGGCATCAACTGACAGTGACATTTTATCAATGCAATTTCTCATTTAACGATGCTAAAGAGCGCTTTAACCCAACGGTGGTCGCATGGGTGACCGATGTTACTTATGTCTAAAGTGCATTTTCCGGAAAATATGAACAACCATCTTCTTTCAATTGGGGACTACTCTCCTTTGTTCTTAATAAAATCGTTTATGACATATTTCTATATAAATCAATATTATTACTTTCTAAACTGATCTTTTTATTGAAAATGTCAATTTAAAATGGAAGACTCTTGTCAGCTACGCGACCACTCCAGCGGGGTTAAACTTCTCGGGATGGAATTTCATTCAGAATGAGTGAAAAGTGGCAATATTTTCAGCCGAAGTGAAAATAGCGCCGCTTGAAATCGCAAGAGTATATACTTCACTCAAGCTTAGAGTGGATTTTGACTTCATATGAGCGAATATTTCAACAGATCCTAGAGTGCATATGTTCCTATGACATTGAAGTATATCGGATTCGCTTGGTACAAAGTAATTCACTTATATAAAATAAATCCACGCACTCTGAATCTTCGAATAAATATTTTTACTCGAAATTAATGAGCAAATTCGCGATTATCCATCATGATTTTTTGCTTTATATATAAGTGAAAAATTACTCAAATTTGCGTGATTCAAAGTGACCACTCTACCTTTTCGAATGAGGTTCCGCTCCAAGAAATTAGAAAGCGATCCTTATATATAACATATGTTGTATTGCACTTACGAACATTATCGAGCGGGAAATTATAACATAGATGACGTTACCGTTTACCGTGTTTATTACGGTTGTGAACTCGACGTTTAACGGGAACGGAGGAGAATATCGAAGATTTTTTAAACATCCCAGGCGTTTCGCCAGCACAAACGTGCCACGATGGAGCGATCGGTATTCTCTCGCGATTCCCAAGTCCGTATTAGGTCACGCACAAATCTATCATATTCCGAAAGGCGTGCCGAAGCAGCCTCCTTTGAGAGGTCAGGATCCATCAATCCAAGCCGTGCTCGGGCGCACCGGGACCACCGCTGGGAATGCTAGTGTACGATCCGCCAGTCATCCTCGGCGGATCCTGGCACATTCGTCAACTTCGTAGCTGCGAGTGTGTCACTTCCTCGCTGGGACTGACGTGGGAAGTTTGGCGACCTGTGAATTCGATCCTCTCGAGGGCCTGCAAATCTTATAACGACGGTGGCGTTAAGTGAAATATTCTCGCGGGTCTTTAACGCGTTGACCGCCAACGAAGTTGAGTGATTCACGTATGAGTCTCTCACTAGGCCCGAATTCTCAGGGTGTTGTGTTAACCCTTCGCGGATGCGATGTTTCGGAACATAAATGCTTACTACACTGAGAGAAAAATATGTTATAATTATAATACTATAGCTATATATCATAATAAAAGAATTATAGTTAGGAGAATCATTTTTCTAGTAAGCATTACTACAGTGTGACTGATAATAATCTTACATGCATATTCCTATCATTATTTTTGTTAAAACCAATATTGCGAAATGTTATGGTTATGGGATATGCAATAGTAGTAATAAAATAATTTCGGATTTTTCAGGTAAAATGAAACGATTGTATTTTTTTGTCGATATCGTTTTTTATGAAACAATGTGTGCGGAGAATGTGGCGGATCTTAGGTTAAAACGGCGGTGTATATTGTTTCACAGTAGTAGCAATACATGTATAAGATTATTATCATTAATACTGTGGTAACGTAATGAGTGCTACAAAAATGCTCTTCTCTTGACTATAATTTTTCCACCATGCGATTATAAATACAAATATCAAACATCTTCTCAATGCAGGCAAGCGAAACATCGTCATCCACAAATGAGTGACAAGTTTTTTTGCGGAAACTAACACGTCATCCAAATATGACATGGTTCTAAACATGTTGACCCGAGTTTTGTGCGGCTCGCTAACAATTAATTATACCCACCGATGTTTTCGAGAAGAAAGCCGATCCCACGAGGGTTCAATAAAAGGATCGAGCTGTGTCCCCGGGCGGTCGGCCTGATGAGTCCGGCGTCTGGAGTCTCAACTACCAGAAGTAGACGGCAGCCGCTCTTTCCGAGCGTGCGTACCGGTGATGATCCCTTAACGATCGCATCGCACCGATCATAAAATCCGCGATCTCTGATTAGCCGAAAAAGCGATGCCGCGGCGCACCAGTGACGAGAGGGATGATACGAGGAAGTAAATCTCGAATCCCTCGTCCCTAATGACGGGGGCGTGTTTACGGTAGGTAACTACTGTCGCCTAGTTTTTGTACAGTTTTAGAGCCCGCCGGCGCGATACCCTTGCCCCCTCATTAAACTCTGATTGCCGCCAGATCGTTATTTTACGGTCGTGCTACTTGTCATCCGCACTTGTATCGCGCAGGTAGATAAGCAGGTACATATCCGATAAACATCCTGAGAAAAGGATACTTGTGACTATAACATTGCATAGCGAAATAATTATAGACGGATAAATCATTTTGCAGCAAGCGCCGCTGTAATGTTGGCGATGGTAACCTTGTTCCATGTATTGCGCTACTATTACTTAAATAAAGAAGCATATGGCATCGAGATGAATATAAAGAAATATACAGAAAAGTGAAATAAAAATGTTAGGAAAACCGTGCGAGAAAAAAGAAGACGACATATACGAATAGGTACATTTCATGATATAGAAAAAAAAAACGAAACGAAAATATAACCATAGAGAGAATTAAAATAAGAAAGTAAAAGTATATGAAATGGAGAGGAAAATAACGCGCCAAATAAAATAAGCACGTTGGAAAAAAGATTTTGTAACCATAACCGCTTGAGTGAAAGAATTATAATCAGGAGGACCTTTTTTTGATAAATTGTGTTGTGGTTAAAATTAGAAAAAATATAGTTGAGGCCGAAAAACACTATAATTTTAGTGGGATTTCTTGCAGTGTACAGGGACCCCTTCGTGCTCGGCGTAATAAAGTATCCGATAATATCGAAGAGGCAGTACTCCGCTCTTCGTAATCGATTACGTTTCGCCTCACGATTTTAACCGAATAGGCTTGCAGTACAGCGAGCCTCCGGATCGAGTGAAAAATGTCGGATTCGCATTCACCGCTTCGTTTTCACAACGAACGCGACGATCTTCCGCGGTCCTCGCGATCAGGTCTGGCTGCCGTCGCCGAGGACGAGCCCGCGAACTGAGATTATAAATCAGGTAATCAACCGCCATAAAAGTCCACCCACGCATGTCTCTCTCTCTCTTTTTCTTTCTGCGGAACCTTGCACGATTTTTATACCCGGTATTCGGGGCGGTGCGCGCGCCTATCCTCAAAATCTCGAGATACGATAGCGATTCGCCACACCGGGGCCCGGGGACACGGCGGCAGGGCCCCTCACTCCCGACAAAACACGTCGGTGGCCGTCGGTGATAAAGGAGATCGCCGAGGTCGTGGCGAGCCCGTCGTTGCGGACCCACATAATATTCTATTTCTGCTCCATTTATTCGCAGGGATGCATTATTATTTTTATCGCAGCTCTCTCTCTCTCCCTCCCTAGTCTCGCGCCGCGAAACGGAGAGTACGCGTGGTCTTTTCGACACGAGAACATTGTTGTACGAATTTCTTTTTTTTTTTTCACGGCTTGACAACGCACGCAACGTACACTGTGAAAGAGATTTTCGACATTTGTGACTACAATGACACGAGTGAAAAAAATTACAGGAAAATTATTTTTTTAACAAGTATTATCTTAGTGTCGGTGCCAATAATTTTACATGCATATTGCTATTTTAATTTTCAAATTAAAACCAGAAGAAGATATGGTCGATGATGGCTTTAATTTCAGTGGGATTTCTCTCAGTGCACAGATCTTTCACATACGAAAAAGTAAAAATAAAGGTAACAATTATATTCGTCATCGTTATTCACACAAAAAATGCGATACCTTTGCATCCGCTGAGAGAGAAAAAATATCCAAAAATATTTATACTACTGACATCACACTTACTAAATCTCAATTCTTTTATTTAAACATTTTTCATCTCTTAGATGTTTTTTCCTCTCAGTGTCGATATGCCGCGCGTTAAGAACGGAAAACAATGATATCCTCGTTGAGAAAAATAAGTTACAATGGTAACGGCGAAACAAGTGGGTAACGTGATATTTCCCAATTCCGATGGACGCGCGTAATTTTCTTTTTTCGGCCCGTCGGTCTTTGATAATCATTTCCAGTGCGCATTCGTCGCATCACGTATACCGACAGAGACATTCGTCGCGAATAACTGAAACGGTATCCTGATTAATATTCCCGCCGTCGTTCGGGTCAATCATTCTACTCTCTGCTGAGTGAGAGACGGGATGAAATAAAATCCAGAAATTCGGTTTATTCTGCTCGGGAACGCGGCAGCTTTATTAATCCAATAATGATCGTCGCGCCAGAGCGTTCTTCGCGAGCAGAATGAAGAGCGCCTGGTTGATTTCACGTTCTTCTACTCGTCGAGCCCGTCGTCGTCGTGGTCTCCGTCGCTGCCGATCGTTCGCGCGTTAATCTAATCGCACAAACGATGAGGCAAGGTAGGTAGGCGACACAATAAAAAAAAAAAAAAAAGAACAAAACAGCGTACCGTATGTGTGTATGTATGCATGTGACGGAACTGATAACATTCCTCCCTTTATTTTATAAATGTGGATCACGAACGGGCGCGTTTTTATTATAAAAATAAGATTACAAAATGTAATAGATTTGTATTTCTATATGCGTTGTTAATTGTAGCGCGTATACAAATGATATTAGATCTTATTGCGATGCGATTATTGCGTAATTCCGTGTCGTCATGGCGGGACGATCGGGAAAGTTTAATAAATCGTTTTTCCTGCTTTCGGCCCGAATGTTCTAGCCCTATCGTTATTATCTACCATTGGAGAAACCGCAGGTGAATTCGCTCATGCGCCTCTTGTAAATTCACGTTTCCAAAATCTTCAGCCCCGTGCGTGTGTGTGTACTTTCCGATTTAAAAGTTATGTATATACAAATACCACGTTTTAAATGTATCAAAAAGTTTGACACATGGCAAAAAAATGCTGTATACCCAATGTTCACGCTCGTCCTGCCACGAAGCTACGTGACGAGTCAACGAGTCTGAGCTGATTGTATGTGTGTAGCTTGGTGCGTACCGCATATACAACTGTTGGATGCTTGATACAACGCAAATTGTTTATCTTCTATTGAGCCGCCGGTATCTATACGATTGACATTATGTTACAATACATATCTCATCGAGATACTTATTTTCATACGATGACTTCGTGATATATCGCGTGCCAGTGTAGGAAGAAAATCGTGATCTCGATAGCTCGAGAAGTCACAATTTCGACACCTCGGAGAATCACTGGCGACTGTTACAAGAAGACTATAAAATCTTGCCCGCCAGAGCAGCAGCCTTAGAGAGCACGATTTGGATATCCATCGATGGGAAATTCTGGAATGCACCATTGCGACACCTCTTAGTCGTTTTCGCTTAAGAAAGGAAAAATCAGCTCGACGTACGTGCGCGCACACACGTTGTTGCATTTGCAAATTATACGTAATTATACGTATTGCCTCACCTGCAAAAGTTTGACGTTCGTAGCAAAATCGCCGGCCAGCAACTGGTCCCTCAGTAGCCTGAAAATGGAGCACATGTGCTGAGAGAATGACAAAAAAGACATCACTGATCGATGGGAGATGTCTCTACTCACAAGATCATGGCACAGCAGATATGTATGAGGAAGCTGAATCTATCCTCGTCAGCGAACAGAGAATCCCATATTCTCATGACATCCGGCAACGGGAATTCTTGTGAGAGAAGGAGCGTCAGCCATCTTGTTACAAGCGAAAAAATCATAACGATGGTGGTGATAACAAGAAATCAATGAGCGAGCTGCGTTCGCTTTGAACATTTTCATAGTGATAATCTCCTCCGGTCTTTATTTCGCTCGTCACACGTCCGAAAGGAGATAGAGTGATGCTTTCAACGCGAAAGCGTCCAAAGCACGAACGCACACTGAGAGAAAAATATTTGGTACTTGTAACTATAATCACCATAGCGAAGAAATTATAGTTAGGAGGACCGTTTTTCTACTACTATATTGTCAGCGACAATAACCTTACATGCATATTCCTACTACGCGATTTTTTGTCATTATTTGATTAATTACTATTTTTATAATTGAAACCACATATAAAGCCACCATAAAAAAAGTGTAGAGACCGAAAGTAACTATAATTTCTCTCAGTGCAGTCCTCAACGACGATTAATCATCGACATGCGATACCTGAAGCTATAATATTGTGGACACAGCTCCTGCTGATGCAGCCGCATCCAAACCTCGGGATCATTGGTCTTGACTTGATTGGTTAATTTACTCATCATCGAATTGATGCCAAATTCAGCCTCGTCCAACGTTTTTATGAAGAAATCGCGTATCTCGCCCATTAGATTGGTAAAACAGAAGAAAGTGTCAGCCTCGGCGTGTTCTGAAAAGTCAAGAGAATACGACAGGTCACACCATCGAAACATTGTTATTTCCACATCATCGTAACACGTACCTCTCCATGCCTGATCCGGATCGCAGGCGAACGCGTGATATATAGGTCCTACTATTTCGTTCATACCCTGTACGTAACCTTGGCCGGGATTTAACTTGGCGTATAAAAAGAGTATTCTCTCTAAGACCTCCCAATGCGCCTCGCCACCTTCGGCTAATGGCGCGTAATCCTCCGTGGCCTTTCTGACGGAGACCGCTATCTAAAAGATGAAGAGCAGACGTAACACGACGACGTAACAGAACGTATCCGCAAGATGACATGAAACTACCTTTCATGTACACACACTCTGTTTACAACGTGCAAGATATAGAAATAGAATGGAAACGACTATTCACAGAGAGAACACACTAGCTTAGTAGAACATATTACTCCACTTGCATCGTTTATAATACCTGCTGCTTTCCGCGTCAACACAAGGACAGAGGTAAACAAAGTCTAGTTAATAGATTTAACAGGAAATTGATGAGAGGTCTCTGATTGCTTATAGTCCATATTACCTTGGTCACTCCTAATCCCTTCCTCTCAACATTCGCGCTTTTCAGCACTGTATGTTGAACTCTGTGATGCAAACGTTGCTGACCATTAGCGCTCACTATCTTCTGACAAGGATAGTCAGTGCCTTGTTGGAAAAATGATATGTCTGGACACAGTCGCCTGTATACATCAAGTTTATTTCTTGTTCTTTACAGAATAACAGTCGACACAATTAGATACTCACCTGACATCTTTATCAATTTGTAGCAGAACTTCGTTATCCTTAAAGTATGTTTGCCACTTACTATCTGGATTTAAATTGAGAGGATGATCATGCAATGTCACGTCAACTCTTTCTTTGTCATCCGCATTGGATTCCCCAGGCATGACAATGAGATCTTCTGCAATGGACAGGCACGCAATATATACATTACTAGCGCCCGAATGATCCTTGTGTCATCACAAAGACCACATGTAATTCCATTCTCTCACCGATAAATGTATTGTACAACTCTCTCTTGCGGTTCAGAGTCTCCGACCAACTGGATCTGGTCGGCGGTAAGTAATTGAGCAACAACTTCCAGCACAAAGGCCTGAGACCACCTTCATCCGGTATGCCTGGGAGAGAAGGATATCGATTGTCAAAAGGAGCCGAGACGAAATCACGAGTGAAAATCATTAGAATTGTCGTAATCGGCTGATAAGGAGACAAAGTGAGGAGTGAATCATATGGCGGATACACACACCATGAAAACATATTTTACCAAGGCTGACCATGTCTATCTCATCCGTATTGAGAACATCATCGAACTCGTTCAATCTGCAAATATTCCGTATTATGAAAAGACGTGAATAAGACGGTCTCGGCTTGTCGCGAATTCGGTCGTCTTACCTCTTTCGCAGAATGCTCATTTTCTTCGCGCGTGGAACATGTGACACAGAGCGGGGATCCAGCACGGCCGGGGATCTATTCGGATTTACTGTAGCCCCTTATCAGCATTCGGTAGGCGTGAGCGGGCAGGCGCGGGCGTACGTACGAACGTCAAACGATATTCCTTTTTTCATTATTGACAGTGACCTGTCAGATCGGCAGGCGTAGCGGCCGTCATCGCGTTCGAACCGTTTGCCGTAAACCAGCTGTAGCACAGGGTTGTCCACCCGACACTAAGAATTCTCGATACTTTCCTTTCGGTGCCTCTCGATATTTCGGCATCGATACTCCGTCGAGCGATGCAAGAGACGCTTCTTCACGGCGGCGTACGTCGCGGGGAACAAGTCAGTCGGACAGGCTCGAATACTCGCGATATTATTGACTGATACAGGTGTTGACTATCTGTCAAACAATAGCTGTGAAAATACATGCATTCGCTCGGTACGCCTGTCTGTAATCGAGTGATGCGCACACGAGAAACTGGTGAGTGGTTGCTCGATATTTTCAGACATTGCGTTGAATTTGCATGTACGAGTGGCGAGAAATACGAGGGGTATTGTTATTTTAATTTGTATATATATATATATATATATTACACAGAATGATATTTCAAAGTTCTAATGTTGTAATGAGCGGATGACGTTTGGCGTATTTGTAAACGTCGTATGGCATCTTAACCTATAAATTGCGGTATTGTTCATGTTTCACGTTGAATCACTTGAATATAATGCGTCCGTTTCTCTTTCAGTTTATCAGGGTTGCTAAAATGCCATTCAAGTTTCACTTGAAGAAGAGCAGGCAGTACAATGTCGTATCCAAGAATCAGTATGTGATCTGTGTCGAGCTGTTAGATAGCTCATCTATAGAATGCACGCTCAGCATTGATAGCAGTGGACAAGAATGCCTGAACAATGTAACACAGCGTATAGGATTGGGGCAACCAGAGTTTTTTGGTTTACGTTACATCTGCTGCCATGGTACACCATCTTTGAGATGGATAGACATGGACAAACCTCTGAAGAAGCAACTGGAAAAAGACGCCAAGAGCTTCACGCTTTATTTAAGGGTTATGCACTATATCACAGACATCCAATTCATTCAGGACGACATAACAAGGTATATGATATTGGCTTCAGAAATACAAATCTTGAGACAACTACAGTCTAATTTCATACATTTGTACTTGATTATTTCTCTTCTTCTTAGGCTTCATTACTATCTTCAATTGAAGAATGACGTATTGGAGGAGAAAATACATTGTAACTCAAGGCAGGCTTGTTTATTAGTGGGCTATTCTATGCAGGCTGAATTTGGAGATTATAGCACAGAGAAACACACGATCGATTATTTCAAGCAGTGTGTCTTCTTTGCAAATGTAAAATTGATTTTTACAATTAGATTAGTCCAATTAGAAAATGTCACATGACCTGTATTCTGTATTTAGGATGTAATTAAGACAGAACCGGGCGGGCAAGATTCTCTCTTACATACAGCAATATGTCAGTACAAGAGTCTCGCTAATGTCGCACAAAGTACTGCGGAGGAACTGTATATCTCATCTGTTATGCAACTAGAAGGATACGGCAACGAAACGTTCACTGCCAAGGTAAATATACTATACTACACGTTCATTCAATCGTTCCATGTTTCTGTTGTTTTGTCATGTTACAATCAAGCCATATACGTTTCAGGATAGCAGTAATAACAAAGTTATTCTCGGGATCTCTGTTAATGGAATAATGGTGGCCTATTCTAGCACACAAACCACACAATTTTACAGGTTATTTCTCTTTTGTGTGCGCTTACGTGCTAAAAAAAAACACTGTGACGTGTTTGAGATAAATGGACAATTGTGTGTCTTGCAGATGGAGGGACATCAGCAATGTCATAAATCACAAAAAGACATTCAGAATAGAGTGTCAGTTGGAAGGCGAAGAAGCTAAACAATTTGTATTTACCGAGTCGCGCGATGCAAAATACATATGGCGATTATGTATAGCACAACATACATTTTACATGCAGTATCAGGAACGCCGTCCACTAGAAAGATCTAATGGCTACTTCGTGCGTAACATGTGCAAATATAAAAAGTGACTGTTGCTTGTCAACCTTATGTTACCGTAAGCATCGATGTAATTTCAGGATAACGAGACAAACGATCCCGGTGAGCAAGCGATATCCGTAAATCTGGACAATCGGACCGTGGACAATCACACGCGATGGACAAGTTACAACGATCTCTCGACGTCACCGTACCCAGCCGTCGTGTCTGTCTCGTCGACGGATATAAATAATTTACGCGCATTATTACCGTCGTACAGACCGGCGCCTGATTACGAAACCGCGATACAAATGAAGTACAAGAATGGTGGAAACCCTCCACAGCCTTATTATGCGAATCAGTCTGCGATTGTCGGCTCTGACATTTCGTGCCTTCTTGGTAATGTTGTCAATCACAACAGGTACTGAATTTCATGAGATTTCTCTTGACGAATTTATCTGAAAATGTCATCAAGAGTTATAGTATTTATATACTTTTTTTTTTTTGTTAACACGTGTCGTGATGTATTTATGTAATATATATACATAAGATTTAGACAGTTAATGATTGATAATATACGAAATGAGATATTCTAGCAGTACTAATCAGGATTGTTTTGTGTGTGTGTGTGTGTGTGTGTGTGTGCGCGCGCGCGCGCGCATAAATTTACAAGCAACAGTTTCGTCTTCCTGTAAAAGATATCGCATGTTATCTATTGCAAATGATCTGACAAAAAATCACGAATTAAGTCAAAGCTGTTGTTACAACATATTGTATATTTATACATATGTGATTTTTATAATCTGCTACATATCTTGTATATATACAGGTAATACACATTATTTACACGATCGTTATACTGATGAATAATCAAAAATATATATCTCTCATAAAGTATAGAGGACAATCCTCCATATAACAATTTAAATACATATTTTACAAAAATGGCAAGTCATATATTAAGGATATTTGGCAGACTATATTAATACCATAACATGGTATTTTTTCATGCATCCTTATGATAATTTTCCGCAGCTGCTGCCGCAATTGCACGTATTAAAGCTGCCGGTTCAGGCTTTTCTGCAGTTGCGTGTACATCGAAACCGAAATTAATCAATGCATCTCTTGTCACAGGACCTATAGCTACTGCTATTATGTCTCTGACGGTATAAGAATTTTTTTCAAGCTGTGCCGCAATATATTCCACTGTGGATGGACTGAAGAAAACGAATATGCTAGAAGATTTTTTGAGTATTTCTACTAAATCCCGCCCTAGGGACTCGCTCTCTAATGTTTTGTAAACCACAAGCTTGTGTGTTAAAACCCCGTTGTTACCGAGAATAGACGCCATAGTCTCACGTGCAATCTCACTGCATGGGTAGAGCAACACTTTCGAGTCGTCTTTTACATTGAGAATAATTTTTTCCGCCAATCGCTTGGAATTACCAGATTGGCTGCCTGTGCAATGTTGCAAATTAAGCTGACTTTGAGCTACAGATTCTGTTGCAGGCCCCACACAATATGCAGGTAGTTCTTCCCAGTGGCGCAGAATGTTCGTATCTTCATTAACGGCTAGTGCGATAGCTTCAACCGTACGAGGACTGGTTAATATCAGACCTGTAGTATAAATTCGCAAGATGTAGATATGCAATAAATAAAAATAGAATTTTGCGCACGACTGATATATTACCACTATACTCATCTGCTCTTGACAGGCACGCTCGCAATTCGGAAATATTTACAAATTCGAATTGCAGAGTTTGCAAGCACTCGCAAGTGTAACCGGCGGATTCCAGCGTTTCCACATACGCTTTTTGAGTATCATTCTTTTCGGACAAACCTCTACACAATACTACCACTTTGGCATTCTCAGCCATCGCATAAATAAAAATGGTCTATTGTACTTTAAATTGTACGGACACACCGTGAGAGATCGTTAATGTACTCGCGTTATTGCAACAGTGATATTATCAGTTTTCCTGATACGTCGAGAAAAAGGGAGAATAAAACGGTTGAAGAATAAAATCCTTGAGAGGAATGTGATTAAAAGCTTAGTAGTCACTAGACATTATCATCACTTATAATTTAATCTTGCCTAACCTAACTTATCCGAGATTTGATAGAAGAAAATAAACCGCATTGGAACGGCGATAAGACATACGATGACGACACAATCGAAATACATACAAAAATCGTTCATTCCTTTCAGCTGAATCAGCTGCACTTGTTCAAAAAATTTATATATACATTGAAGCGTACGTATGAGATTCTTAGGCTTAAGTGTGTACACATTTTCTGAACTGGTGCAACCAGTTCAGCTAAAAAGAATAGACCAAAAATTTCGGCTCATTTAATAGCTCTTAACCTATAATTTCGAAATTGAGGAAGACTGCCATCTGTAAGGTCTTTTGTAATTATTGTTTATTTTTGCAATCTAATGATATTGTTACCTTTACAAATATTGAAATCGGTCGATTGAATCTTTTTGCCTATTTTTGAAAACTGAACCTTTTATTTTATAAATATCTATTTACTTATTGATTATATATTTACATCTTTATCAATATTTAACATTATGTTTTTAATTTTAAATTATAAGTAAATTATGCATTATCGAGCTTTAAATTCAAATTTTGCGCGCGCTGACAATTCCAGCACTTATTCTTGGGATGCGTTTCAATATTCATTGCCAGTGTTAAAAATCTATAACATACGTAACATAAACTATAGGTTTTCTGGTAGTAAATTTTAGGGCACAGCCTTGAAATATTTGCGCATATAGGTCTGTTTTTTTTTTTCACTACATTAAAACTGCATTAGAACTGCACTGGACTGAACTGAACCGCACTGGGAAAGACTAGGTAATGAAGAGGTCTGTTCGTTTTCGCTGCACCGCCGAAACGCCAGAGTGTAGTAAACAACATGGCGCATCACATGACATTATTTGATTCTTCTGACGAAGAGAATTTTGTTGTAATGCAACCACTATTACAACCCATTGTAGGTGAAAATGATGAATGTAACATGAAACTAAATATAGCAAGTTTATTAATAATTTATAATATTATATACCCTACCGATCATACATTTAAATAAATTACTAAATATAAAATAAATATAAATATAAAATCATAAAGATATCTTGACGTCTTAAATTCATCCTTGTGGTATGTTTGAGCATTTCTGCTGTGTATGCGTGTGTGATGGTATAATATTAACAATTTTTATAAATGAAATAAAGAAGATGTTTCACACATTTCAATATAATGCAAGCTACATACCTGATAGAGACTTTTCGTATAAATTTCCGTTACGCTTGCATGCACTTCCAAGCTACACTTTCATGCACTGCACTGACCACACTACCTCCTGACTCAGTGCAACAGTTCATTGAACTGCCTGCACTACATGCTGTTGCACTGCGAAAACGAACAGCGTTGATGACGTCATGATGACGTCATTCTCGATAAAAAGAACGCTTTAGTGTAAACTCCTTGCACTGGTGTGCACTAGTGCAGAAAGTATTTCGAGAAAAAAACAGACCTTATGTTCGCAACTATTCGTATACGCAATTTGCGAGTGATATCCAATAAGCGTGCTGCTTTTATGGTAAAGCAGTTTCGCTGATTCACTTCCTCAAGCCGCTGTTTGAAAGTACACTTTTGTGGACATTTTCTGCACCAGTATGGCAGATTCACAGATTAAAAGGGCAAATTTAATAAAGGGTTGGCAATCTCGACTCTATATCGTCGATGTATAATCTTAATTTCGGGAGAAATGCCTCGACCATTGTACCGAACCAAACTTATTTTGGGAAAGAATTCAATATATTAAATATTATTCATAAAAGAGGATAAACAATTTGTTAAATTTGTCAGAAGTAGAATGTGGTTTTGTCCGTGTGTTGGACTTTCATTTACTGGACATTACATGTCCGTTTCTCATCATGATTGATATGACACTTTGTAAGTGTAAATGTTTTTACAAATTACGATTGACATTATCCATACAGCACTGTTCAAAAGATACCCTAGAGCCGTCCCAGAGATAGGAAACATCTTTGGGACGTCTCTAAGATATCTTCTGAACATTTGTGTTATATGGATACTTGGTAATATAAAAATATTCCCTGTAAATTACACATCCGTTTTAGTTTTGGCAAAATAATATTGGTTTCGCCAATAGTTTGGAATATCTGCATTTCTCTTCTCAATACTTTGCTTTATCCCTGCGATGTTTACGCACGCATGTTTATATATGCATCATATACGATAGTTTCAGAAAGCTATTTTTAACGAACTTGTAAATTTCTCTGTTTTTCTCAATGAATGCATTTCCCCCTTTCTTTATGCGACTTAACGGAGGATAAATAATTTATCCAGGTGGAATTTTGTATTACAGCATTAGAAATGAAAAAAAAGCGATGTGTCTTGATTTGAAGCGCAATGTTGAATAATCAGAAGATGGGAGATCATGACGAAGTAGCAGCTTCTGATGAAACATTTAAAGGAATCAATGAATGTTCTATTAAGATCGAGCAGCCGATTGATCGAGACAAGGAAGAAACCAATGTGAAATATTTTGACTTTAATCTGGAAGTCAACGATTTTCTTGAGACAAAGTTGGAGGATAAAATGGAGCTACGTAGAAGCAAGCGGATCAAGAAATTACCAAGTACCAAACCGCAGTCTCAGGGCTCTCAGGTGTTCACGCTACAGTCCATCACAGCTGAACAAAATTTCGGCTCTAAATATCGCCCGATAAGACCAAAACCTTACACAACCACTGACTCTTATCAACATGTCAGATCCATCGAAAGTAAAACCAGGGATATCACAACGATAAAGAAAAAAAATAACGATAGGAAAAAGATTGGAATTCCGAACATATCGGTCGGCACAAATCGGCGTAAAGCTAAAAGTCCGAACAAACCAATCCATCGCCATAGTGTCGAATTGTTTTTCAATAAGATGGCACAGACTGTGTTAAAATTACCGGAGGATATACAAGCAGAGATTAAGATGGAGATCTGTAAGCTTGTTACCAAGGCGGAGATTGAATTCTATGAATCACAGGGACGGTAAAAGACTGATTAAAAATGGTCGGATAAACTGATAATCAGTTGGTTTCAATAAGTTTGTAACTTTCATACTCGCTTTAATACAGTACATAAAACAGAGTTATATGGTATAATTTGCGATTATGCCGATAGAGCGGATAATGATTCGATAATGTAGAGCTAAATTATTGAACATGAATATTTTTCCAGAATGTTTTTCATGGTTTATTTTTAATGAGAAACGAGAAGAATATCTTTTGTGAAACACAGAAACGCTCACGTTAAATCATTAATTACATTTTTATGTATAACATGGAATGATGCTCTATGTGTGCTTTTACATCTTTTTAAATCTTGAACATAAGTTGCATTGTTGAACATGATTCTAACTGTTACTATGCTAGCATTAGGAATGTAGTATAAGGGACTTGTGTATATTGACGAAAAATGTAAGAAGTATACGTTTATTATAGTCGCACGTATAATCGACGAGATATATTAGGTCATATTAGTTTTCGAGTCTCGGTTGATTTTTGAAATGTGATTTAAATTTGTAAAAAAAAATAACGCAAATATGCACAAGTGAAGGTAGGTATGCTTAAGGAAAACAAATATAATAGATGTTACAATATTATCAATGTTTGTTGTTTACTTGAATGTGCGATATAATATTGCAAATAAATTACAAAACAGACCAATAAATTAATTTATCGAAAAATCTATTGGCGTGCACAGCAATTATCACAATTATCTCTTCTGGAACTTTTGGGTTGTGTGACTTAATTAAATCATAGTCTTACGCGAATATGTGATAAATAATTAAAGAATTAGCGTATATTAAGTACCTGCAAAACAAAGAAATCCGAAATGCGCACAACGTTCCCAAAAAAATCAGTCTACACCTAAAGCTTGTGAAAAAATATATATGAGCTTAATATTAAAAAAATAAAAAGAAAGTAAGATAAAATGCTACCTCTCACACATACACAGCCTCGCGAATTTTCCTCGATTTTTATGACAAAAAGACATATTGTAAATTTCACTATCAATAGTTACATGAACACTGTGGATTTTTACATTACGCGTATATAATTTGACTTGTGGGAACTAAAGCCGAGTAAAACAATGAAACGGTGATCTCCTCGTGAGGTCTAAATTATAGAATATGTGAGTAGTAGACTGAAAAAAAGTGATTTGTATAAACTAATAAGGAAACCCGCGCATATTACACAGTGTCATGGTGTTCCTCTGCGATTTTCACGCGTTTCGATCATGTTGTAGTCCAGTTCGAAAGAGACACGTATTTTTTTATAAATATCGTAGCTTCTCAGAAAGTGATACACACTTTTGAAAACAGTCGGTCTCTATATTTCTGTGAAAATATATTTGAAACAGTGCGAAACGTCTTAAACAGTTTTACTGTTCTTGAAAAAATACTAGACTTGAAGTTTTATGGTTTCAAAGAGTGAGAGATATACTTTACAATGATCTTTCTAGGTTTCTTTTGGAAAGATCTTTTGCCAATACATTATTTTTGAAAATACTCCCATCAAGTAATAGTCTTAAAATTTTAAAACTTCTTTATGACCAAAGTAAAAATTATTTCACGTCAATTATATGTATTAATACTATATTACGGAATATTATAGCTGGAAACATTCCATACGAATATCTATACGCATCTATTCGTACGTAACTTTATACGATACTTTCAACCCGCAATTTCTCTCAATATGAAATCGCAAACCAACTTGCGATCAAGCAGGTGTATTGAGAGTAGTAGCAACAAATCAATGTCTCATTGATTCAGATCACAACATAATCTACACACGTGAAAATTGAAAGAGGCACTGTTGCGGGCTTCCTCTTGGTAAGAATAAAATACTAAAATGCTAAAAATCTATCAAGCCACAAACACGTTGGACGAGTACAATCGCGTTCGTAATCACGCACGCAAGCGCGAAATTTCGACAAAACAACTGATCCTCCTTCTCGATTTGAGATACGAATGTAACAACATAATGAAAAGCCACGGTGAAGAATATTTCAAATTGATCGATATCGATGTACACACTATCCTATAAAACGATAGCCACGTACGTGCCATCGTACTTATCAGCGAGTCACCGATTCAAACCGAGATTAGGTTGCGCACTTTCTTCTTTCGTGTTTATTACAGATATATTATGACAAGCGCATTAAAGGTAGCATATCCATTTATAATGCATGTAATACAAACTATCAATCCCAAATACGTCACGATGTCTATCTAAATGACTAATGGCTCGTGCACATACAATATATTATATATAATTGCTGTTAATGTCTACTGAAGTATCAAAGCGTGACGCCGTATTCTCTTTCTCTGCATTCTCATACCTTTGCCGATATATCGTTATATACGGTGTACGGAGTATGTCTCTTGGAATTTCTGACTGCGAGCGCTACGCCTACTTAGTAGAATGCATTCGAACTTTCCTTTTCTTCTTTTTCACGCAATGTCGTTCTCTGTTCTTCTTTGTTCTTTTTTTTTCCTCGCAATGATCCGATTGCGCAAAGAGAATTATACAAATGAGGGGAAATACGAATCGCCGAGAGTATGTTCACCTAATATAAAATCGCACGATCGCGTGATATCGTGCTATCGATCTCCGTATTTTGTCTTCTTGGCAAACGCATTTGTGCTCTTCTAACGAGTCTGTGTCCATGTCCAAGCATAATATTCATAAAACTTGCGTTTTCGTGAGTAAAGTGTAAAATGCGAAAGCACGTGTTCCTTGTAAGGGTGAGAGACGAATCGAAGATAAGCATTTTTAACGATGGAACCGTCCGACGAGCTCGGAGATTCGAAAAACAACGTGTGTGTGTGTGTGTGTGTATATGTATGTGAACGTACGAAAAATTCCAAGATTAACGTCGCGAAGCTTCTTTTCGTTTGCATCACTACCGCCTCGTAATTCGTATCCCATGCTTGTTACTTTTTTTTCGTTTTTTTTTTCTCCAAGTATGTTTATAAGGAAATGCAATAACGATGAAGGTAAAAGACACTAAAGGCGCAAAAGCCTTATCTTCTCTTCGACACTGTAGACGCAGAAGCATTATACGGTAATCGTTTATTCCTCTTTCTCGGCCTTCTCGATGTCCTGCTTCTCCTCGCCCTCCACGGGTACGCCGCCCTCGAATTTCGGGCCCGGTGTTTCGTCGCCCTCCAGAACGATCTCTTCTGGGTCAGGAGCGCGCGGCAGGAAGTCTTCGTCCGGATACATAGACTTGAAGATACTCTTGGCCTAGAAGCGGAAAAACGATTGTACAAAGTTATCTAAGCGGTGATACTTCGTCCCAGGCACACGTACAAGCAAAAACCATTAAGCTACAGGCGCTTATACAGAAAGGAAAAAAATAATAAATATTTAGGAAATGATTGGTCAATTTTATTTTAATAAAACGACATACCTGATTCACCGCAAAGTCGAAATCCAGTTCAAGATCCGGTCCAGAGCACAAGTGAATGTTATTCGGCGCCGAGTCGTTTAATTTAATGTCGCTCGCAGGTAAATTCAGATACAGGGACCACAACACTTGAGGTGTCGGGTATTCTGTCTCTTCCTTCTCTTGATTATCACCATCCTAATATAATTATTCGAGAGAATATTTGATGTAGAATAGAAAGTTTTTAGTTTCGATTAAATTTCGAGAGGGACGTTTCGTTACCTGAAGATGTCGTTTATCGGGAGATACCGTTTGGGTATGAGAATCAGAATAGCTACGTGCGGCATTGGGATCAAACGGTTCAGCTCTCAGGAACTTATTTACGACATACGCTAAATCATCTTTCGCGTTCTTGGTACGTTTGCATGTCATATGAACCATAACTGAGGAAAAAGAACAATAGGGACATTCGACTTAACCGACAGCCGACATATACAGGATGTTTCTTAACTGACGCTCATTAATTATATAATGTCATCAATTGGTAAAAATCAAATAAAAAACTACCAGATAATTTTATTCAGCAATGCTTAATAAAGCACCAATCATTGAATAAAATCCAGCTAATCGGGCGCCGTTTGAGATGCATTTATTTTATAATAATGCATTTATTTAATAATTGCTACTCTACAAAGCGTTGCAGGAAAAAATCTGTCAAGATTGTTTTCGACTTTTATATATAATAAAATACAATGTTATATATATATATATATATATATATATAAAGAAACATCCTGTACTTGTACGAATGTTATACATACATAATCCTTGGGGACAAGCATTGGTGGATGGTCCCAATTCGATAATAGTAACAGGTTCCTGGCCTGTTTCTTCCGGCGGATAGTACAAAAGTGTTAGACTTTCTTTCTCGCCTTGCATAATTGATCTGTAGAGATGAAGCAGTTCTTCCAATAACATGACACAAAATAACATTGATCGTCATTTGAGCCGTCGACGAAACGTCGGTGCAATACCTGTCGGTGATGAAAATTCCGCGCGAAATTTGATTCTCTCCTTCGGAGGCTACGATTTCCGGTGGCAGGTGTCCCTGCCCTACGACTAAATGCTCCAAAGCCAATCTTTGTTTGCCAGTGATAATAGCTTTGCATTTATCCCCATTGACTACCACACCGTCCAGTTGCCTCTTTAAGCAATAAACTCCGCCGAAGACTGCGCATAATCTACAGAGGGAAAAGAAAACAAAAGTAATACGGGGACGGTTATTTTTAGGAAAACGCATAGGACTCCTACGAGTACTTCGTACCGGCAAAAGCATTGAGGCAGTTCACCGCTTCCGTACATAGGCCATAAGAAGGGCGTATTACCATAACGTCCAAGACTATTCAGGAAATGCTTCGTGCGATTAACGCCATCCCTGCACGATGTTTTGTCCGTTGCCATTGCGATGGCTTGCACAACGTAATGCTGCACTATAGGCGTGAGACTTTTCGTATTAAGATACTCTAAGAACGTTTTATCACGAAAACCTGAAGATGAAAATTGTACGTGTGATCATTGATCCCGAGCCGGTCAGTTATCGCTATGTTGCGCCACATACCATCGAATTCTGGACTGTCGGCACCTTGTTCCATGCAAGATGTCAGAAGCTGCATCAGCATTCTCTTCTCCACCACGCTAACGGTTTTGTTGGCGAACACATCGGCTCGTGAGCAAGGGACTTGCGTGAGTTTACCGTCCATGTACGTGGCAACTCTAGATACCGCGCGAAATTCGGCGTAACGCGCAATATTGCTGGAAATCAGTAGTTCCACTAACTCGCCACGGGCGAATAACAGCTGTAATGAAAACGATCACGTCAAGGATACGCGTGCAAAAGAATGGGCGAGTATGTATCTGCAAGCACAGCGAGCTCACTTTAGGTGCCAGATCGATGTTAAATCTTCTATATTCCTTTTTTATACGGTCTATGCTCCACTGTTTCACATTCTCTTTCTTGTCAGCCTTGTCCTGATCAGTCTTTTCCGCACCCTCGATGGCGCTGCTATCCCCAGAACTTTCAGTCTGGGTGTCTTTCGAGGAAACGACGGGTAAATCCGCCTCGCTGTATGCAGAGATAAACCAATCAGAACGGAGCGCAAAATAATTTCTGACTTTGTCGAACACAGTTAATACACATCTCATTCCTTACTTGGAAATGTACCAAGTTTCTCCAATGTTCTCGACAGTGGAATATTGATCGCTAGCCTTCAGAAATTTCTCACCATCCTCTAAGTCAACATTTGTATTTCTAGTATTGTTCTTAGCCGTTTTTAGATCTTCTATCCATTTTTGCAATCCATCAAAATTAAACGTAGCCCAAAGACCTCCGTAATATTCATTGCTAGATAGAAATAAGTAGAATTTTTATAAAACGGTCTATCATAAATCCCATTTCATTTTCTTGGAAAATATTTAACATTTCTAATCACAAGTACACTGATCAGTATATTAATGCAGTGATATCATATGCAGTATATATGCAATATTATATCATACAATTCTGACATTTTCTACTATTTAATAAAATGTGATATAAATGCATAGATTAAGTTTATATGGCAAACTAAAGACAATTTAATAAATCTATAATTTAGGTTTATATGATCACTATATGAAGTGGATTTGACCATATGTATATATATATATATATATATATATATATACACACACATACATATATATATATGTATATATATAATTATAATTTTTACATATAAACAGTTATATATAACAATTATATGATAGGATGTTTATAATATTTAAACAATATGTAATGCCAATAGTTATCGAAAATAGATCAGAAATGATCGAGTCAGCTTGATATCACTTATGCGAATTCAGATGTTACAGGTGTAACTAAACCGACTTTTCAGTTTCTCTGCCATGTAAGAGACAGTCTGTGAGGATGTGTCAGTTACATATGGGACCGCATCTGATTAAATGGCATGCCAGTGCAGGAAGTAGGAGAAAGTCGGGCCGGCCGGGCACCTGGGGTATTACCTGTCCAGGTGCAGAACCTTCTTGCCGATCCTGCTTGCCGCAGCAGCGACGATGGACTCGGTCATACCTGTCGGGAATCATGATCAGCAAGCATTGTCGGATTACTGGCGAGAAATCGGCGCGGTCAAGCACGACGCGCGGCATCGTTCTGATAAAAATCAATACCTGTGCCTACGACGACCACATCGTACTCGGTCGGCAGATCGTCCTCCATGGCTGTCTCCTCCCCCAGCTGTCTCTTTCTTGGTCTCACGGATTCACGGCGAAGTAGCGCGCTCGCGAAAGTATAATTACACACCAGTCGTGCGACGTCGCGATCAATTCCAGGCCGATCAATTCATCTTCCTCAACTTCCGCGGATTACCAGTGTCGAAATTCGCGTAAAAGTCGGGCCCCACCCCGAGCACAAGCTTTCACTCCGGCTCTCGTGCGCACGGGCCTTCACCCCTTTTTGTTCAGAGTTTGACAGAACACAGTGTAACACGCCACGCAGAGACGAGACGACCGCCTGCTCGGCCAGGCCGCTTGGCGCCATCTGCCGGTGTCGCGGCAGCCTCAGTTAGACCCGTTATGCGATCGGACTCGTTCTCTTCGGTTAGTCCAAAGTCTCCGCTACTAGTTGTCGTATGTTCTATTGTTTCCATCAGTCTTCATTTATTGGCTGCTACCATAGAGATATAAGAATAGAGGGAACAAGAGATATATGCTACCTGTAAGTGGAAGTGATAGAGGTCAAGAGAGAGATGGATGCCGAGTGTCCTATCTGTCTCTTTCTAGTCGAGCGCTGTGATTGGTTGTTACAATGAGCCGCCAAGACGACCACGCGACGTCAGGAGGGGAGAAAGCAGACTAAAACTTCGTTTTGTAAATATGCGTGCACATGTGTGTAGAATTAAAATTCGTTAAATATTTGAACGTTAACAAAATAATAATTGGACGCGATTTGTTTAAAAATGAGGCATTGTTTGAAATGCAAGGCGGAGTCTTATCCTGGATATAACCGCAGTTTTCACTCGTAAGAAAGTACAAATACGTAACCTCAAATAATTATATGTTATTTTTTCCTACATTAAAAAAAATATGTAAATGTTGTAGGCTACTGAAGGATGTAGATATAAGGCGTAAATGGTTGAATATACTTCAACTACCTTTGTATTTTGAAGTGAAAACAGCATATATTTGCAGTGATCATTTTAGCAATGACAGTTTCTTTGAATTGGATGGAGAAAAATGTATAGCTATATCGTCGTTGGCGCGGCAGCCAATCCCAGCGCGTGACTAGAAAGAGACAGATAGGACACTCGGCATCCATCTCTCTCTTTGTCTCTATGACTTCCACTTACAGGCTTGTTCTCTCTATTCTTACATCTCTATGGCTGCTACATTGATAGCTATCGTATAAAAACGTAAAAAATCACATTATATTGTACTATTGTGCGGTTATCTAAACAAATAAAAGATTTTTTTATAAACAACTGTTTCGTATCAACGAGTATTTCATTTACAGCGATGAATACTACAGGTAACAATGGTCAAGTATGGTCAAATCTTGGTGTTTTAAAATATATTAAAAATTATTATCCAATATTGTAGCAAACAAATGTCCCTTCATGGAGGAATGTTATAGGAGAAATCTGATTCACTTTAATGAAATGTCACATCCTTATTGTAAGCACCTGCCTGTATTCTTCGATCACAGAATCTGGCTTGTACAGTTTATGAGTTTTATTTTGTTTTCAGTGGAGAAATTATTAGCAAATCAGCTGGATGATATGGTAGTAATGCCAGAGGTTCTTATTTTTGCACTTCATGATTGTTCTCAATCGCTGAATCATTTGAAAATATTGCAAATGATTCTTAAAAAGGAGGACGAAAAGGAAGATAATTCTATATTAATAACAAATAATCAACTTTTCAAAGCAGTCGTTATTAAATAATAATAAATATTTGCAAGAAACAGCAGACATAAGAAAACTGTGGTACAGAAGAGACAAAATAAGCTTAAGCAGAAGGATGGACGTAGAAGCTCTATTCAAAGCTTTGAACAATAAAGAGCAGGAGGATTCAGAAAATATCAAAGTTAATAGAAAAAGTTGGAGGTTTAGTCATGCGGAAGACGAATATAATGGATGAAACATTATCTTCATAGATAAGAAAGAGAAAAAAATTACATTTGTTCTATAGCTGGCTTTGTAAAAATAAAAGAGATATGTATATATGAGAGTATATATATGAGAGATAAATGTAAGAGATAAAATAGAATGTAGCAATTATATTAAGGAGAAATAGTGAGTTACATTTGACACACGTAGTGAGTTACCATTAAATGTCAAAGCCATTCTGCAGGTAGTGAATAAAGTGAAAATACTTCCAAAGGAGCATCTATCATGGATACACATCAAGCTTGCAGTTCTGCAAAGTCCAAAAAGGAAGCTCAGCAGGAAATTATGCAAATAATGAGAAATTCCGGACGTGATATTGTGGAACCAGGAACATTTGCTTCAAAATACGCCCTCTCAGCTCCTTACCACATATTTTTCACAAGAGTTGAGGAATCAAGAGAAACTTACAGTCAAAACTTCTCCATAACTTTTCCTGAGATTCTTGATAGAAGTTTTGGGGAGATAGTCAACAGTCTTCATCTGAATTGTAAAGTAGATGTCAAATGGCTACATGAGCAATATGTGTTGGCTGATCAATGTACTGATATGATGATTCTGTGTGGTAATAGAGTGGATGAGGAAGAAATAGATAATATCATTGTGAAGCATGTGGATATGCCATCTGAATTTGGCAAGCATCATACTAAAATGATGATTTTGCAATACAAGGATAACAGGATCAAGATAGTTATCTCGACTGCTAATTTGCACTTTGATGACTGGGAGAATAGGACACAAGGGTACGTCCAAAATTGAGAATAATTCCAACGAATTTTTCTTTATTTTTATCTGTTAATTTGTCAATTGTAATTGTTAATAGCTCAATTTTGAGAATCTGTTGAGAATCGGTTGAGTTTATGGCTAAATTTATTTCAATTTTATCCACAAATTACAGACTGTGGATTTCGCCTCATTTACCTCCACTGCCGACATCTGCGAAATCTACTGATGGAGATTCACCGACGAATTTCAAGAGAGACTTCTTGCAATATCTGAACAAATATCAGGGTTCCGACTGGGACTTTTTAAAGCAGTGGGTGAAAGTAGTGGAGAAGGCGAATTTTTCCGCCATAAATGTATTTCTTCTTACGAGCACTCCTGGGTCTTATACAAATATCGAAGCTAACCTTTGGGGATACAAGAAATTAGAGCGGCTCCTGTCTTGGCACGTTACGCTGCCGCCGGATGCGTCGCAGTGGCCCATAATCGCGCAAAGTTCCAGCGTAGGCAGTTTTGGTAAACAATACGATAACTGGTTGTTGAAAGTAATCAAGTCTATGTCATGCGATACCACGCAGGATCTCAGAGATCAACCAGAGTTCCAGTTTATTTATCCGTCGGTAGATAATTACGAGAAGAGTTTCGATTTTCGAAATTCGACCTGCTGCTTATGTTACAGCATGGAGGTATATTCCAAACAGCCGTGGCTAGAATCGTACTTATAGTAAGCTTCTTATTCTTATAAAAGATTCGAGGAAGTTACTTTTTAACAGTAACTCGTTATTCATTGAAAGAAAGCTTTGGAATTATTTCTACGTTATTTCTGTACAATTTTATGATTATATCCAGCCAGTGGAAGGCGACGAGAACAGGACGAGACAAAGCGATGCCTCATGTGAAATCTTACACCAGGGTATCACCCGATTTGAAAAGTATTCCTTGGTTCGTGCTGACCAGCGCGAATCTCAGCAAAGGCGCATGGGGATGCCAGTGGAACAAATATTACATAACGAGGAATTACGAGGTCGGCGTTGTGTTCCTACCAAAGTTCGTCGTGAGTATCGTCATTGTCGTACAGCTCGATGAACAACTTGCTAATATCGTTACTCATTCAAATGTAGCGAGCGTGTTAATGTCAATCTTATTACTAATATTATTATTATCACTTATTGTTACGTTTGTATTTGTATTCAGACCGGGACAATGATGTTCACGATTTCCGAGGATAAGGGTTCGGACATTCCGATATTTCCGATTCCATACGATCTTCCATTGTGTAAATACGACTCGAGCGACGATCCTTTTATCACACGAGAGGAATGATTTACATTATTAAGGAATGATGGTGATTTTCCAGCCGACGCAGCTGTATCGAGAAAAAATGTACAAATTGTTTTTTGAAACCAAGTGTACTATATGTATTATTGCATTTTTTAAGGTATTGGGAAACAGAATAAACGTCAGTATTTGTATTGCAAATTTAAATTTCTTTTTTTTTTTTTTTTTTTTTNGTATAACAGAAATATATAGTAATCATCAACAGCAAATTATTTGGATCTTTATGCATCCTACCCATGAGTTAGTCGAAAAAAATGAAAAAAGGAAATTAATTTTAATAGACTTATACAGAGTAAAGGTGAGGAAAAGAGAAGAGGAAATTTCAGAGAGAGAATTCTTATATAATATGTGACTTTTTTCCGTTTCGATATCGCGTCAACTTTATTCGTGACTTTCGCGCGGCGAAAGTTTGCGGTAGCCAATCAACGTGTAGTTTTTCTGTAAACACTAGAAGTTTATTGGTTACTGTGCGAACTTCCGCCGCGCTGCAAGCGTTATCGCGTCCTGTCTGCAGGAAATATTAGACTCATTATACCGTTCGACTCGTTGCTTTTATTAATCCCAAAGTTACCGCTACGAGCTATCATCTGCTCGTTATTTTCATCAATCTTTGTATCAGTGAGATTAGGGTTCTAACATATTTTCGTATATTTAGAGAAAAGAATGCGGTCGTGAAATTTATCATCGTGTTGGTTATGTTACATTGGACAACTGTCGTATAAAACATTAACAAAATTATATCATTTGTGGCGCTATTATCCAGATACATATTTTCTTTGTAAACATTAATATTTTATTTTTAGTGATGAATACTGCAGGTAACAATGGTCAAGAATGTTATGTATGTCAAATTTTTTGATTTTGGAATACGTTAAAAATCATTGTTTAATGTTGCAGTGAAGAAACTTTGCCCTTTTAAAGAAAAATGTTACAGAAAAAATCCAATTCACTTTAGTGAAATGTCACATCCTCATTGTAAGTTTGCATTCCTTGATCATTGGTTCTGGCTCATGCAATGAGGATTTAGACCTGTTATTTTACTTTTAGTGGAGGCATTATTGGCAAATCAGCTGGATGGCATGATAGAAATTCCAGAAGTTCTTAATTTCACATGTGATGATCGTTCACAATTGCTGGATCAGTTGAAAGTATTGCAAATGGTTCTTAGAAAGGAAAGAGAAAAAAATGGAGACAATTCTACGCCAATAACAAGTAGTCAACTTTCCAAAGCACAATCCTCATTAAGTAGCAAAGAAAGTTTACAAGAAAAAGTAGTCAAACATAAGGAAGGTATGGCACAGAAGAGACAAGATAAGCTTAAGCAGATGGATGCAGAAGCTCAAGCTCTGTCTAGAGCTTTGAGCTCTCATGAAGAACGTGAGAATTCAGACGATACCAAGGTTAGTAAAAGAGGAGTTAGGAATTGGAGTTTTAAATTATGAAAGATGGATATAATGAGTGTAACATTATCTTCATAGACAAAAAAGAGAAGTTACAGTTCAGTTACAGCTGGTTCTGTAACGAAGAAAATGAAAGAGATCAAAATAGAGAGTAGCGCTCACACTAAGAAAAGCCAACAGATCATTGGTGACTCTCAGAGCAGTTCCACGAGCAGGGAACAAAGTAAAAGTAGTAGCAAAGGAACATCTATCATGGACATGTATCAGGCTTGTGAAACTGAAAAATCCAGAAAAGAAGTTCGAGAGGAAGCTATACGAAGGATGAGACAGTCCGGATACGATGTATCTATCGTGGATCCAGGAGAATTTGCAATAAAATACGCCCTTTCAGCACCTTACCATGTATTTTTCACAAGAGTTGAGAAATCAAAGGCAACTTACAGCCAACAATTCTCCGTAACATTTCCCGAGATTCTTGACAGAAGTCTCGGAGAGATAGTCAACAGCCTTCATCTGAATTTCATGGTGGACGTTGGATGGCTGTGTTTGCAATATCTGCTCGCTGCCCAACGTCCTGACATGATGATTCTGTATGGTGATAGAGTAGATACAGAAAATGTAAGTCGCAATATCACCATGATACATGTGGATATGCCGAATCCGTTTGGATGTCATCATACTAAAATCATGATCTTGCGATACAAAGACGACGGGATCAGAGTGGTCGTCTCCACGGCTAATTTGTATACTCAGGACTGGGAGAATAGGACACAAGGGTCTGTCAAATTAGTCATTGATCTAATAATAACCTTTAAATGTTATTTGAATTTTCCTTAACACTTTGATGATAGCTGTCACGTATACGTTACCTTTCTATCGGCGGTTGTCGCCTTATGAAGAAATATTTGTCGATAATAATAGTCTATAATTGTTGCGTTACGGAGGTTACGTAATGGTCAATTTACGCGCAATGCAAATTTACGAATTATATAATAATGCAATTCATGCGAATTTATGTTTAAAGAGATGTTTGTAGATACGGTCTAAGCAAGATTTCAAAGTTCGCCGATATGAGGCAAATATTTTCCTACGACTTGTGCGGCCGTTAAAGTGTTGGGTGTCATTCATTATGTTTAATATGCGATTTGTCCAACTCCGAGAGTTTGTTGAATACCCGTTGATATTTTTGCCGATGGCATGATATATACGGTTGAAACTATTTTGCTATTATGCCCCAATCAGACTGTGGGTTTCGCCTCATCTACCTCCACTGCCGGAATCAGCGGATTCCACCGACGGGGAGTCACCGACGAATTTCAAGAAGGACTTTGAGCGGTATCTGAGCAAATACCGGAATTCGGCTTTAACGGAATGGATATGGGCAGTGAGAAAGGCGGATTTTTCCGCCGTGAACGTGTTTTTCGTCGCCTCTGTGCCAGGAACTCACTCGAACTTCGAAATTGATTCTTGGGGACACAGGAAATTGGCGCAGATACTATCGCGTCACGCCACCCTGCCGCCGGACGCGCCGCAGTGGTCTCTAATTGCGCAGTGTTCCAGCATAGGCAGTCTCGGTCCGAATTACGAAAGCTGGTTGTCGAAGGAGATCATTCCGTCTATGTCGCGGGAGACCACACAGGGTTTAAAGAGCCACCCGAAGTTCCAGTTTATTTACCCGTCGGTGGAGAATTACAAGCGAAGCTTCGATTTCCAAACTTTGTCCTCTTGCTTGCCTTACAGCTTGAAAATGCATTCCAAACAACAGTGGATAGAATCGTACTTATAGTAAGCTTCGTTTGTTTCTTATAACGGGATTGAGAAAGTTACTCTCTTTAAGGTTGGGTATTTAATAGATCTTGCAATAGGTCTTGAATCTTTTGCTCCAAGCGTTATATTATAATTTCTAGCAAAAAGCATTTCCAAATGTGGTGATGCCTAAGATTTAAGCGTCATTACGATTATTTCGTGGCAGCGTGTTTTGTCAGAAATTACGTTACATTATATATTGTTTAGAGCAAAAGGCTAAAGGCTTGTCAAACCTATTATAGATTTGGGCTATGACTCTATCAAAAAGTTGTTGATGACGTAAAAGTAATTTGTAATGGTGTTGGTTGTAATGGTTACAAGTAACGTTATTTCCCAATCCCGTTTCTTAAATTTATATTTTGGAGGCGACACGGTTTCTACGGTCACACTTTCATGATTGTCCAGCCAGTGGAAGTCGACACGAATAGAACGGGACCGAGCGATACCTCATATTAAATCTTACATGAGAATCTCGCCCGACTTGAAAAGCATTCCTTGGTTCGTGCTGACCAGCGCGAATCTCAGCAAAGCCGCATGGGGAGTCCAGCGAAGCAACTATTACATAACGAATTACGAGGCCGGCGTTGTGTTCCTACCAAAGTTCATCGTGAGTGTCATTATTGTCGACATTATGTCGACGAGTATGTTACCGCTTGACAATCGATGAATAACTATTATATTGACGGCTTAATGTCGCTTATTTATGCAAATGTAGCGAACACATTAATGTCAGCCTTGCTGTTGTTATTATTCTCATCATTACTTCAAACACGTTTATATTTTGTATTCAGACCGGGACGACGACGTTTCCGATCGAGGACGAGGAGGATCCGGCCGTTCCGATATTTCGGATTCCATACGATCTTCCATTGTGCCGATACGACTCGGCCGACAGTCCTTTTGTCAACGAGTTTTTCAGCACTCACAGCTAAGTGGCGATTTTTCAGTTGCCGATGCAACCAGTGCTATTCAAGTTTCTTCCCGAATGTGGCACAGTATTTTTACATGATAAAAGGCTTCGTGGAAAACTCGTGAATAAATTCTCATCCATTTGTATTCGCCCGTATGTGTCACTTTGTTGTTCCTCTGCAGCGTTAGACAACAATAAACGTTTGCATTCGCGTTGCAAATCGGAATCCCGCTCTTGAGAGAGATATTCAACAGAAGTGAGTGTGTGGTGTGTTTGACAACAATGCAAATTACTCGGGCTTTGAATATTCTGTTTATGAGTCAATCACAAAAATAAAAGAAAAAAAATCGAAAAGAACACACAGACACACCCACCCACACAAAGAAAGGTAATGAAGCGGAAATGTCAGCGGGAGTTCTCACATGGCACGTGACTTTTTTTTTTCCGTCTCGATGTTGCGGCGAATTCGTGCCGCCCACCGCTTCGGACGCGTTTTCCATAAAACATCAGCAGGAAAGCGCTTCCTCGACGCGAGGGCCGAAACGTCGTCTCTCCTTGCAGCGTTAGTGCTGCCTGTTCATGCTCTGCCTTCAAACGGGTTTTAATCGCGAATCGTATATACCCGCGCGGCAATTAAAGCATACTGTGCACTTTTCATTGTCAAAACGCGCGTAATTTTTACCACGCGTCGCGTACGCCAGATATCGTATCGATGTGTACCCGAAGCGGTCGTAACGTGGGAAATTTGCTGTTAAACACACTCCGCAAAGCGCGTCACTCATTCTCGCTGATCGGATTTCGTAAGAATGAACCTTACGAAACCCAAATACGGAAGTAAATATTTCACACGTGGCATACTCGTATATTATCATAATACATAACCTTTGCCCATTTTCACACCTATCTTTAACACATACGTTCTTATCTCTCGTCCGATTGACATGCTTACCTTGAAGCAATCAGTGCAAACACTACTTCCGTCGGTATACACACCGAGTGGTTCCGCAAAGTCACGTTTTCCCATCGATGTTCGATTATTGCCAAGTAACAATCTCGTCAAATGATCCGCACAGTTTATTAATAAAAGCGGTCACTTTGGGGCATATTCCATATTCAATAATTAATCTGACCACTTTTATGCGATAAACAAGAGGTCTGTTCGTTTTCGTTGCACTGCTGAACTAGTGCAATAAGAGGCGAGATATGTTTTCTCACTTCAACTTATTGCACTAATTCAGCGGTGCAGCAAAAATGAACAGACCTATATATTCAGTTTTAAATGAAAAACAATATTTTAATCATTTTTTTTAATATATTGTTACCTTGATCTTAATTTCTTACTTTTTATTTCAATCTTTACTTCAATTTTCATTCAATATTCAATCTTAATTTTTTAAATTTTAGTACCGTAACGCGATTACATTTTTTGTGTAATAGTAATACATGGTTATGTTTATCGTTACTTTATATGTATACATAGAATACGTAAAATAGGGGTTGTAAGAAGAAAATTTTTGAATATTATCTAATGTATTATTTAATTTCTATTTAATTTCTATTTAATCTTTATTTTAATTTTTATTTAAATTTCTGGATTTCAAATTTCTCGAATCGATATTTCCCTTACAGATGGCGTATAGGTTGCTTATGTTTATTAACGTTAATGCGAACGCGTATTTAGCAATGTATTTAATGCAATTATACACAGTAATATGATTCTATTCATCATTTATGCTGTGCATATTAAGATCCCATTTCTTCTAATCTTAAAAAATTAATATCATCTATTATTATCTCATTACCAACCAGGAAACTATTTTCTACAGCCGCTTTTCTACAGTCGCTTCCAGTGACTTTTTGTCATCAGATCATTTTGAAATTCACTATAAACTGCAAGAATGACGTTAAAATTGTACGAATCATGCTGAGCCTCCCACTGAAAGTCTGATTTCCTAGTCAGGTTGGATGTTCTCGGTGCAGATGCGGCTTTCTGGAAGGGACCTTCCGGCGCTGGGGACGGCGGCCAGCGAGGACGTCGATCATCAGTACGCGAGATGTCACTGAAAGGATAGGGTATCTCGCCACCAGGTGTGTCCTGGTGTCCTTTACTCCGCGTAACCGTTTCTTTTTTTTTTTTCTTTTTCTCTTTTTCTTTCTCTTGGAAAATCCTATTAAAAGAACCATCGATTCCAGAGTAAAATTTATTTTATCGCGCGAGGGTTGTTGAAAAAGTTGTCGGAAGGTTGTTCGCGCTTCGAGTGTCGATCGAAGAAAAATAGTCGAAAGTGACTACGTGTGTGCATCTGTGCGTTTGTTTATGTAAGAAAGGGAGAGAAAGAGAAAGACAAGTGTTTTTCGTGCGTAGATAGCAAATTTTCGGGAGGAACAACACGATGAGCTGGAAACGTGTCTCGCCTGATAATGCGACCGAGTAAACGCGAAAGAATCGAAAGTAGGTTTTCCTTGTGGTCGTAAGATCCTGTCGCTTAGTTTGTCGTTTGGATTCTCGTCGCATTCCATTCGGCTCAAGGAAAAGAGAACCACCGGCGCTAATCGTGTTCGATTCAATTACTTTTTTCTTGTTCCTGAATCAGAGAGATGAAGGGAAATTTTCTAGCCTGTATGCTCCACGTAACACTCTTTGCTTGGTTTATTGTTACTTTTTTTCCTTAATTAACACAAGGATTTCGAGAAATTTTCGAATGAAATGACATTAGGATTTACAAGGCGACCTATTAAATCGATGTGAACGAGACGATAAGCTATGATACCGTCGCTGTCTGATTTTTCTCAAGTTTAATTATCAATATCGGGCAATCGGACTAATTCGGTTAATTATTAATGCTATCAATGATACTGTCACGCTTTGTTTTGGTACAAACACCGCGGCGGACTGTTAACAGTCGACGCTGGTATAAAATCGATTAGCGTCGGTGCGGCAGAATTGATATATGTTGTTGTGAAACATGTTATAATACATGTTATAAAACAAGCTCAAGGTATGTATGAATATTTCTGAACGTGATATGCAAATTTATTTCTTGATAGTCATGAGAGACTATCGAGATAGTTCTCGAGAGACTGAATTATTATTATTGTAAAAATACAATGAAATATTTATATCATCATATTAATATGTGAAATTATTATGAAAATTATTATTATTATTTATGATACGTTCCTAACGGAATTCCGTGAATCATAAAAAAAGTAATTCAAACGTTAGAATATCTTAAATATTAATACACGTTTTCTAATATTCAAGTATCCAAAGACTGAAGTACGGTGAATAACAACTTTTCGTCTCTTTATTCAAGAAATTTTCATGCTTACATTTACACTTTGCAGTAGCCTCTAATCAAACTACCGGGAATTGTTAACAGTATTATTCTGCGAATACGTCATTAATATGAGTAATAAAAACGCAAATATCCTTGTACTAGCAAAAATGCGTGATATTATTACATTTCAGAATGTCAAGTCTCATTTTCTTTCAATTCTCGCGAATTTAAATTGGCTACGTGAATTAGTGTCAACAAGGATGGCAGGACGTATGCGATGAACGTGTGACCGTACTCATAACTCGTCGATGCTGTCGCGCGTCGTCCATGGTTCTCCTAAACGCCAGCAGCACAGGGTGGTCTGCGTTTTTATTGACGAGAAGGGAGAAACGCCAACGAACGCCATCAGCCCCTTCTCCCCCTTGCCAGACGAATCGATAAACCGCTGCTGCGAGATATCGCGGCTGCGACGGCGGTAGCGGCGGCGGCAGCGGCGGCGGCGAAGACGACTTGCCAAAGTTTCAAGACGGAGAGCCGCCGGTGTCGCGGCGGTTTTCACGGAGCGACGACCGATTGGCGATCAAGATGGTGGTGACGTGCTGGATCCTCGTCGGGATGCTCGCGATCGTTGTGCTCCTTTACGGTCTCATCGAGCTGCACTACTTCCTGCGCATGTTCCTCACCGTCTTTCTGGCGCGCTACTGCAAGAAGAGGGTGCACATCCTCGACGAGACCGTGGTCTACGGTGCGTGAGTCCTTCAAAAGTGCCATCCGCCGAGCTCCCGTCGAGCTGCGACGGTCGGTATTGATGAGCGGAAGCGCTCCACCAGTATCCGGAAAAGTGCGAAGAATGCCGCACTACACTGCAGTGTGCTGTGTATTCAGTATCCAGTAAACACCAACTAACAGTAACATCACATCGATTATAATTTTACATTCAACGATGTAAGTGTGATATAACACATGTTGTATGTAACATTGTAAGTTACATTGTTGAACGGGGGAATTATAACATTGTTATAATGTTACTGTTAATTGCTTCTTACTGTATAATTAATTAGACGCGTTCATTTCGAGCACGTCACATATCCACGTTAATCGTAAAATTGTGAAAAATAATTCATTCGAACGCGCGATTTTATTTCAATTTTCGTATTTTGCGTGAATAGGAAGAATATAAGATGGACGATCTTAGGTTAGATGAAGGATGCACAATCAGATACACAATCGGATGCGCAATCAACAAGAAAAGAAAAACCAATAAGGGCTAATGTAAAAATTCTAGAATAGTATTGCTTCTTTTTTTCCTTTTTTTTGAACTGAAAACGGTCGGAATGACGATCGGAATGTCGAACGTTCGGGCACTTTTTCACTAGTCCGTTTGATCTGTTCTCTATTTTATTTTCATATTTTCTATTTTATTTTCGTAGTTGAATAAATTACGCAACTGGGACCTTGCATGAAGTCTTATTAGCCTTTTCCTTCCTGTTGATTGAAAAAGAATTGAATTCTTCTCTTGAAGATAAAATATGTCTTTCCGAGTCGGAATATTTAATTAAAGCCGGAGGCGTAGGGAAGTTTTATTTTATGCTAGGTTTTTTAAAGTCAGTTCTTTTATTCTTTCTTGGCGACTTTTGTACGCATATTAAATGATGTTTATGAGATTACATACAGAGAAAGAAAAACTATTTCTGTTTTGTTGAACAGTTCCTTTCACTTTTGTTGAACAGCCCTTTTCACGACTGTATAATTAATTAAGGAAGTACAGTTACGTTCCGGGAGTCATTATGTACATGGTTTGTCGTTACAATCTAATCCAGGAATCCTTACGATTCATTTGCGTATTGCGCGAACCTTGACCTGCTCATATGTGGAATCAGCTGGTTGGCGGGATACTCGTCTCGCAAATCCGGACGAGTATTGATTGTGCGCTGTGATATACGCGTAAGCGCCGCGAAATTTCACGCATTAAGAGAGAGAGAGAGAGAGGGAGGGAGGGAGGGAGAGAAAATATCTAAAAATTAAAAAAAAATATTTATTCGATGAGTATTGATAACAATTTATTAATAAATATATTTTTACATTGAGAAAAAATGATTTTCGAATGAGATATCATATGATTTTTTTTAAATCTCAGCTTTTTTCATGAAAGCAATTATTTATTCTTTTTAAATAAAAAAATTTAGAGAAATTTAAGCACATTAGTGCTTATCGGATGAATATATATCTATTTTTTTTATTTTTTTATTTTTTTATTTTTTTAGATATTTGTTCTTTCAGAGTATGTAGTTGTAGTATTTTAAATGAAATTGAAACATATACAATTAATGAATATGACCTGTAATGTTTTTACAATGATGGCCATTTTTACTACAAGATATCATTTGTTAATCATTGATTTATAGATGTATCGCTTTTCGTTGCCCTAAAAACGCAAGTCGATGTTTTCAGTCCTCAAAGTTCGAAACATTAAAGACGTCGATTTACGTTTCCGTTCCGCCATGTGTTAATAGTCCTTAATTTCATTTTTGTGACTACCTACTCGTTCGTTGATTTTATTTTACGTTACTCGCGGAGCAGTAGACTCGGGATTGCATGTAACTCGCCAGCGAGTGTAACATTACGGACTGATTGATTGTTCGTAATTATACGGAAGCTTAATTATTAGATTGTAATCTCTCGAGGTATCTGCTTCGGCGAGTTACGCGTCCTTAATTCTTTTAACTTTATCCGAAGTTAACGTTGTCAACCATGTCGTAACATATTGTTTGTAATGTACACTATAAGAAAAGATCAATCGGAACAACTCGAATCGAGAGTTGAACGAACTCGACTGTGTATGACTTGAACCAACTATTCTGATTCTTTTAGCATAATTTTTGTACCTTTTTGTCTGTTTTCCTTCGGTGAACAGAATCTTACTTGCAAATGCGAAACTTGTCAAAGAGTTACAGCTAGTGCGAAATACCGTTTTTTCGATTTATCAATAGTCACGAGAAACGCGTATCGAGACCGAAGGCTAGTGGAGGATTTGTGTTACAAGTCTCGACTTAGAACTGTATTCATAGTCCGATATTATATTTAAGATCGTATGAAGTTCATTTTAAGATGCTGATTCATTGACTACATAGTATCTTGAGATCAAATTAAAACTACCTTCAATATAAGATTTGCCTTAATGAATACCGTGAATGATAAGGCATTCTGGCCGACGAGCGTGCATACTCGTGCGATCACGTAGCTTGAGCAATTGCTTGTATCGAAACATTAATAAAACATGAATATAGTTTGTGTTCATAAATATTAAACATATCATGCGCGTTGACTATAATTGGTAACCTTCGCATTTTCTGCATTTTATTCGTACAGTTCGGCGTAAATGTGCGATTTAATTGAAATTCTATACATTGTTGCTGTTGTCTTACGTAACATGCGTCAGCTGTTGCATTAAAATTCTATTAATTTTCTCACACAGGCAGGTTTAAATTAATGTTGCGCTGTGTTGACATTTTACACCTATTTTTCAGTAACGTAATATACCTCCTTTTTACGATATTTTTTTCTTTTGTACAGCTATCTGCACCACTACTGATGTGGACGCTCTTCTGTATCACATGAACAACGCGAGGTATCTCCGCGAGCTCGACTTCGCAAGGGCAGATTTTTACGAGAGAACAGACTTGTACCGAGAGGTTTGTTCTCAAGGATCGGGGGTGGTGCAAGGAGCTGCTACAATACGCTACAGGCGATTTATCAAGCCGTTGACGATCTTCAAGATAACGTCCAAAGTAAGCTTAATTATTGGTCGTATGATAAACTTGTTGGATTTGTGCGTCGATCGGCTGTCGGATAAAGGATTTCTAGAGTGCCCGGAGAAAATATCAGGGATCTTAGAAATGTTGCACAGAGAGAAAGCTTCTTTAGATATACACGCATTTGACTTGGATTTGTTTAGTATAAACATAATTTAACATATTAAATATCATTTTGTTTATATGAAGTGTGATAATTTTATTCTCCTTCTAGATTATTTATTGGGACGAAAGAAGTTTTTTCATGGAGCATCGATTTATTACGCCTAGCGACGGTTTCGTGCGAGCCATCGCGATTTGCAGACAAAGACTCCTCGACTGCAATGCTGACACTGTTATCGGCGCACTATTGAATCGCAGAGTGAAGCAGAATGGAAACGTCGAGGCAGGTGTAATGCAGGTAGAAGCGAATCGCTAACACTTTTTGGAATGTGCCTTAAAATCGTTAATGTGTCACTTTAAACGATTCAAATTCTTGTTCAAATCAATCAGAAATATGCTTCATGATTAATTATTATCACAGTTTAGTTGCATTATTTATATTAAATTTAGTTATATCATAGTTTATTTTCATAATATATGATTTTAATCAAAGATTCTTATATTAATTTATTTTTTATCATAGTCAAAATAAGTAATCTCCAGTCAAGTGATTTAAATAATAATCCACATTTTAATTAGCACACGTGTCGGTCACTTTGAAATTACCATTGATTGGCATATTATTATACTATTGATTGACCATATGATTATATGATGATTAGCAATATGACCCCGAGCAATATACCCCATATGATGATTAGCAAAATATTTTTGTTGTAATTAAATTTGTATCGTAAACAAGTCATTTGATTAAGCAACATGTCTCGTTAGCAGGCAAATCGGTTGAAATGAATGTCGCAACTTGATTAATGGTGAATTCAATCACTTGCACTAAACTGGATTAATACACATTAAAGGCCATAACATATAAAGTTTTATACATATACAATGGTACAACATAAGCATTTGTGGTGATGAAAATAATTAATGTTTATTCTACTAAATACAGAATGCGTCAGCTGTTACGTCCTGGACGCGGATGTTGGATTATTGAAAGATACGGAATCGCGCCGCGAACGCGAGGCTTTGTGTGGAGTGTAAATGTCCTTTTTGGGTCAATGGATTTAACCAATTTACCCTGGGATGAACGAGGCTGTGTGAATGCTGTTGTGGATATGGATGAGCGCGTATGTGTGTGTAAGATTGAAAGAGGTTGATGGATGCAAGGAGGTTGATAGAGTTGCAAGAATTAAATTTATTTACGTTTGAGGAGTTGTTCTGAGTTAAGTCGTACTCGAAATAGAAGCCGAGAGAGAGTCGCGAGGGCAAGCTTTTGCTCGGCTTCTCGCGTCACCTTTTATAGGTAGGTGATGAGACACCCCCGCGCAGGTTCCTCATTACCCAATCAGGGGTAAGGTGCATCTTACGCCATAAATAAATGAGTCAAATGGATTTTTCTTGCGATTCATTAGAACTGTTGTTTTTTCAGCGTTATCGCTCCCGATTGCTTCATCCGAAGCGATGATCTGATACCTCGGGGTATCTCTAACCAGAAGATATTGTTTAACACTCGATATTCTTTCGGCGCTATCGCTGCCGATTGCTTCATCCGAAGCAATAATCTAATCTACCTCGGGATATCCCTAACCAGAAGATATTGTGTAACACGCAAATGGTTGCATGAGCGAGTAGACTACATATTCGATGGCGAATTATAATTTAGTGCAAGAACGATTGTTTGGCGTGCAAAACGTTACGCAAACGTAACACAGCTAAATCCGGACAAAATAAACATTATACTTAACAAAAGTTTATTGGTTATTCATGTACCAATCCGGCGGACAATCGCAAATTCGCTGTAAATAAGATGTTTCATTTTTCAGATGTCTTCTGCGCGACCGGAGATGCCGCCGGAAGTAAGTAGATGGATGGAGAGCAACGAGATATCCTCGGCGATGTTAAGACAAGCACCAGTCACGACGACATCAGCAACAATGATGATGATGACAACAACGGCAACGATGACAACGACGACGACGATGACGACGACGTCGATGACAACGCATTGCTGACGAAAAGACATCGCGACGTCTAGCAATGGCGTCGTTGCGGCACCGTTATATACGACTACGACAGTGTAATCAGTAACATCAACTAGGATGTTTACTCGCATGTTTGCGAAAACTTATGCTCGCGCAACACAGCCTTCCGACGAGATCGAGTGTTAAATATCGATTGATCTAAAACGGCCTGAAGTCCGGTAACGTAGAAAGAAAGTTGACATAATCGCGGAGCGATTATCTGTTTTTAGAGTTTCTATTAAAATAACAAAAGTAAATTATTTAACCGTTTAGCTGAATTTGTGCGAGAGAGGGGATATTTTTCGTACCGAAATATATAAATTGTTTCTTCTATCGTATCTCTGTACTTTATAATTATTAGGTTGGTGCAAATGAAATGGCCGTTTATAAAGCTGAAACTTGTATTTTTCAAATTTAAAACTTACATAACTAATCAAAATAGCTTCCACTTACTTCAATACAGTTCTGCCAACGTGATCCAAATGCATCAATGCACTTTCTAAAAAATCTAGAGAGCGTGAATCGATAAACTTAAATGCATTCTCCTCACTCCTTAACTGCATTTTTCACACTTCTTTCTTCATTGAAATTTTTGCCCGCCAAAAACGCATCCAGATGCTTGAAAGGATAATAATCTGACGATGAGATGTCTAGAGAATAGGGAGGGTGAAGGAGAACTTCAATGTTCGCTCGGCGAGTTTTTGAACGGTTTGTTTTGCAATGTGTGGTTTAGCGTTATCGTGCAACAGCAACATGCCGTGTCTGTTGACCAATGCTGGCTGTGGAGCGCACAGTTTTTGGTGCATGGTGGCAATTTCCTGACAGTAGTTATCAGAATTTATAACCTCACCTTGTTTGGTAGGTATTCTCTTAAGCAAGCAATCAGGGAAAAATTCTAAATGAATGGAAATCTGTGTCAGACAGGATAATTACCGTCAGATTCAATACAAAGCTAAGGAAATTAACCATGATACAATGCTATGCACCCACTGAACCGGCTTCGGCAGAGGATAAAGATGTTTTCTATGAACAACTGACATCAACACTGAATAATATCAGGAAATCAGATATGATTATGGTCATGGGCGATTTCAATGCCAAGGTAGGCTCAGATAACACCAATTGGGAAAAAGTCATGGGTAAACATGGTCTGGGAAACATGAATAAGGACGGAGAGAGACTGGCGGAATTATGCATGAATAATGACTTGATAATAGGCGATAAAGTTATGTGCGCTAAATCACATGTGGATCATGTACTTTTCACACAGTATATATACACCGTCCTCTGTATGAAAGAAAAGTAATCTATAGGGATGGGAATTTCAAAACACTGAAAACGGACATTTCACTTGCACCAACCTAATATATGACACCTTATTCGCGCGGCACAAATTGGAAATATGAGATATTTAATAAAATATATATTGAAGTATCATTTTTTAAATGAAATTTGACTAGTTACAGTTGAAATCGAACATTGAAATTAAATCGTATAACCGCATATGTGCAACACAAATATTTTTGCACGAAACAATGGCGAAGCAGTTACTTAGAAATTAGGAGCGAAGTGGATTTACGATGTGCCATTATTCGCACATTAGTTGGTTATTCAATTGAATATATTTATATGTTATTATATATAAATGGTAATCCACCAAAGTAATGTACCTTTTTTTTTTCCTTTAATTCTTTTGCTAGAAAATTGCGTCTCTTCGACATTCTTCGCGGTATTTGGGAATTAATCTTTCTGAATTGTGTCAGAAGCGTTTAACGAAGTACGAAGAGAGTTCTTTGCGGACACCGCATAACAAAGGTATACTTAAAAAATACTTAACGCGTTATTAGTATAGGCAATCAGACATGTCCCAGATGCGAACTTCGAATTTTTGTACATAGTTGCGCTAATGAGCAACATATAGCGAGAAAATAAGAAACATTAATTTATTTATCAAGCAACACACAGTGGATGCGTGCCTGTATTTATATAGTGTATAATAGGTGCCTTCGCTGAAAGAAATATATAAATACATATATCTATTAGAAACACTCGAAATACATACGTATTGAAAAAAAAATTAAACATTTAAATCGAATCGTGTTTCGTGATATAATTTCCATTTCTGCTTTCCCATTTTTTTTCTTTCTTTCTAAAGAATCATTGTATTCTAATAACTCTGTACGCATTTCCATCAACACAACGATCGTATGTCATGGGCATTTGCGTCTTGTTGAATATACGTACCACAAATGTATAAGTAATCAGATCGTGCCAATGAACCTTATTGATTAAAAGAAAAATTCGCACAGGATATTTCATCAGGATTCGCGCGTGAATAGATTAAACGAAATATTTTATATCTGCGAGCTTTCAATTTCGAAACGGTAACGATTAATTTGCAAAGTAGCATACGTAGATAATCATAGCGTCTTGAAGCGCGCGCCAAACCAGCTCTCGTGACTAGTGACTACGTAGACATTTCGTAATATCGTAAACGTTCAGTCTTCTGCCGGCCGTAGCAAGACGCGCATCGAGTCCGCGGACAATTACGTTCTTATTCTACGGGTAGTAAGAAACGCTAGCAAAAAAAGAAAGAGAGAGAGAGAGAGAGAGAGAAAGAGAGGATCGCACAAGCCGACGACGATGGAGTGTTTCTCCTGCGTGGCGATGATCGCCATCTTCTACATCCTATTTGACGTGAATTATTTCCTGAGAGTCATCCTCACTATCTTATGGGGTAGACTCTTCGAGAAGAAGAAGAAGCTTTTTGAAACAACCACGATTTATGGTAAATTTTCCTTATCGCAGAATAAATTCAATTTTTCTTGAGTAAAAATTCGTTCGTTTTTTGTATTTAACCGTTTGACTGCTACGCGGTGCAAAAGCGCTGCGTTCATTTGTCTCGAAAACCGCGACGCAGCGTTTTTGCTTTTGATTCGACTGCTAGTGATTCTGAGGATGGTGAAAGAACAGACACCAGTAGTGATGATAGCATTATTATAATTCATCATATCAACATATTTGGAAGAATGGTGCTGAACTCTTATATTTTGTATGTTTCCAACACTACCGGAAAAAAAATGAACCGGCTCAAATTTACATCGAAAATTATTGACGATATCGAAAAGGAGTGGATGAATCATAAAAATAGCGTGTCAACACAACCATCTTCATCAACCAAAAAATTTGCGCTTGAAAAATTACCGGGACGTAACTTACGACAATGTACGGTGTGTAGCAACAGAAGGAGCGGGATCAAGCGATCCCGCCTTATTTGCGCTTGTTGTAAAAAAGGCCTTTACGCTATTTGTGCGGCAAAACATAGTTGTTATACATAAATTTTTCATGTAAGAGTCAGTGATCTTCCCCTAATCAAAATGGTCCTTTACGTGCTGATCATAAGAGAAGATCAATAAACTTTAAGTTATCTTTTTATAAATTTTAATTTTCAAAGAAAAAAACAATTTAATGTTTATTTTTTCTTATTCACATTCACAATTAATATTGTTTCTTTATAATACGAAAAGAATTATTAAAATTGATTGATATTTGTCTAAATGAGAGTGTTTTATTTGACAACATCAAGTCAAAATATGTCCCGCAGTTTTCGAACGTTCTCGCCAGAATCGCTTAGCAGTCAAACGGTTAATATAAATGTATATAATATTTTTTTAAATATTTAAGTTAAATTATATTATCTTTAATTTATCAAATTACATAAATATAAATCTTAAACGTAAAACATTAGTAAAAAATATGTAAATATATATATGCACTTTTGAAGAAAATCATGTGGGAAAAAATAACATTAGACATGAAAAATAAGGAGTCCAAATTCACCGCGTGTAAATCATTATTTGCGCGATTGCGCGAGTGTGGCATTCCGTAAACCGCGTTGAGACGCTCGACGTCACACAATGAACCGGTCGGTAGATAACTGTACAGTTACTTTTTGGCGCACCACGATATACCTTTCGATATTATGTATGTACCGACACAATATACCGGCACAATAATTTTAACATGTCATGCAACTAGTTTATTAGGTTTTTTTAAATTGTACATATGAATTGTTACTTATTGGGTGCGCTCGGAGAAGCGGAAATAACAAAGCGATCTGTCACTGTAATAATTTCACGATAATATCCAAGAATAAATGTCTACAGTAAGAAATATTAGTAATTTAATTACTGAGCGTCAAGGATTATGTACACAATATGATCACAATTCACGCATACGCACAAATTTAATTTTGCAATTGAATATATATAAAGAATATCTTTTAAGATAGTCGTGAAAAACTTCGGGTATCTTCCAATTGTCTCTCTTTTTGAAATCATTCCAAAAACCCAGTATATTCATGGAAATAAGCCGATACGTGAATATATATTTACCTTGACAATATGATACTAAAATGTATTTTTTAAATGTAAATCTTATATAACTGCGTCATTTAGTGATGAGTTTTCATATTTTAATTCGTCAGTTGATTATATCGTGTCATATGATGGCCTACGCCGTCTAAGTGCTAAATTAATTCTGTCACGTTAATTCTGTTCATACGCATTATTTGCATATTTTCTAAATATTCCTATTGTCTTTGGCGTATATTACCGACCTTGGGATCGATTTGCAGCGTTATGTTTTCAATATCGCGCATACGAGTATTATTCGTTCAATTAGAATTTTCAGAAGATTAAAGCTTAAACGATTTTATTAAGATTGTATTCGAATTTATTTCAATGGGATTTCGTGAGATAAAAAATTTCGTTTGCGTTACATATTAAATAAGAACGAAGTATGAAATATAAAATAATAATTATGAAATGAATAAGCTAATAATAAATTAATAACGAGCTAATGAATAAAATAAATAATAGGCTAATTATGAAATGAAATACGAAATATGAAATGAAATATGAATTAAAAGCGACGATGTAGCGTTGAAAAGCGGTATTCGAGATTCGCATATAGTTCGGAAGAGACCAACAATCGGATTCTTTTTGTTCCAGGTATCTGTTTCACTCAGGACGTTGACCTGATTCTGAAACACATGAACAATGCGAGATATCTCCGCGAGCTGGATTTCGCACGTTTTTATTTTTATGATAGAACAGAAATTTATGGGACCATCGTGAAGAGAGGAGGCAGTGCTGTTCAGGGTGCATCTAGCATAAGATACCGCCGAGCAATTCCTATCTTTACGCTGTACAAGGTCACCACGAAGGTATGCAATCGATACTTTCTCGCTATCTTGTTTTTCTCTTTTCTGTAACATACAATTGGCATTTTTCCAGCTCATTTACTGGGAGGACAAACACTTCTATATAGAACAACAGTTTATCACTCTCACGGACAACTTCATTCGTGCCGTGGTATTAAGTAGGCAAACTACAACAGGATTGAAGGTACCGGTGCAGGATATAATAGCCGAATTAGAACCGGAAATACGTCAGCCAGAACCCACCAAGGAACTTCAGCTGTGGCTGGATTCCATGGAAGAGTCGTCTCAAAGTTTAAAAAAACAAAAATGAGCAGATGCATTCCTCTGATACATTGCTCAATATGTTATTTAATTATTTGTTATTTATCTTGTTTTTTGGGGGGGAAAACTTATAGTTACATGTTACATGTGATTGTATCTGTTAAGCTTTTTCAGTTGAATTTTCGCGGTACAAAACGTATTCTAGTTATAAATCAAGCTGAATCTACCGAATGTGACACAATGATCTTCCATAGTCTTTTATAACTTTCTTACGGAACATTTTTATATAAGCACAATACAGAGTTTCGTAAAAATGATATTCTGAAATTAACCTCACCTTGTAAGTTCATTTAATTGTGGATCTTGTAATTTTGAATCTTATAATCTTGTAAATTAATGAAAAAGTACGATATCGTCGAGTAAAATTTCTTTATTCTGAATTTATAGATATAACTTGCAAGAGATTACAATTTTTATACCAAAACTTTACACAAAACTTTTGTAACCAAAAGCAACCATCTCTCCGGCCGAATTAGATCAGTTAGTATAGGAAGGTGGAAGGTATAATCTTCATCAAAGGAGGCTTGCATAATTATGTGATTCCGTGGAAATAAAACTCAGATTCTGCCGAAGAGAGACTCCGGATAATTTCTCCTTCGCCACAATCCCTTCCCAGTTTTCAGAAATCGTCGCTTCTCGATTGTTTCTCGGAAATTCGAGCGATCGGCTGCATCGTTCGCATGAAAGAGAGGCTTCAGTGTAACCGTCAGATGGCGATCCTGGTACCGGCGGCTCATACGAACGGAGAAAGGATATTCCCGCGAGCTGCTGCCGCGCAGTCGAATCCGTGAAAGCTGCCGCGCGAGTGAAGCGAGTCGACCTTTGACTTCGTTTTCCATGAATTCTTGTGAGCTACTCGGTGATCAAGAACTCGTGACAGCTAACCGCAGGTCGTAACGCGAATGACCTTCTTCGTTCCATCTGTGAGTGATCAGTGCGCGATTGAACTTCGCTTCCGGAGACACCTTCGTTCCTCGAACGCTCGTTTCTCACTTTTACCATTCGATTTTTAATTTTCCAACGCGATCCGAATCTTTCAATTATTGTGACATCTGAGGCCTTCGCAGTACGAAAAAATGCTCGATCCGTGCTTTCCGAGTTGGTGCCACGTCTTTCAAAAATTTGCTTCCAACGTTTCGTGAACGTTTCAGTTCACTGCTTCGGGGACAGGAGATCTGAAGTTTCAAGCGAATTGAAACAGGTCCACGCGAAACTTCGACGACAAATCTCGATTACCGCATTTGATACGCGCGTTCGAGTCCCGCGAATGTGACATTTTCGAATTTACGTTCTCGCACGACGAGACTATCTCGCGTTCGCCACGAGAGTTGTTTAAATACAGACGACGGAGTCGGCCGTCACGTCGCAGCCGCTGTCAAACGTTTCGCAAATTCAGCAGGGGAATCGGGCGCGTTTTTTGCTTACAAGTATAACTTGGATAGTGTCGGATGTTGGTCGGTGATTTCATTTGAGAACGTGCAAATGATATCTGCACGACGACCACGACGTGTGCTGCTAATGCACACTCGGATAAAATTACGCGATTACATCATGAGAAATCCTGCGAGGACGGATTACACATTGTTTCTTGCTTGCACCGTCGGGCACGACGGTCGACGCGCGTGATTTTCCGCGGGAATGTTGACGGGGGATTAAAATTGTTGACAATTTCACCGTGATTCTCACATCTTTCTCGAGAGTGGCATTTTCAATTTCAATCTCTCTCTTCTCTCTTATACATTGTTTCTTCTTACAACTCACTGTATTCATTGTCTATCTGAAGGAGCTCTTTGCCCGGGGATTAAATCTCTCTCTTTCTCTCTCTCTCTCTCTGATATCGCGATATATGCGAAGGTCAGAATCCTTCGTCGAATCGTTGGAAAATCATCACGTTAGCGCCCGGAGTAATACCGTCGCGTATCTCATTGCCTCATCAGCCTCAACGAGATGATTTAGACCTCGACGAAGGAGATTAATATGTTGCCAGCGATTGTCGCGATCTGTGGCGATTGCGACCGTCGACAGGTCGGTCTTACCGGCTTATACGAGTCCCATTGTAACGTTTTATTGTATACGTGATTACAAATCGGACGATATGTCGAATCGACGCGAACGCGCAAGCGTGAAACTCATCTTATTATAATCATAACAAGAAGAAAGTTTCGTCGTCTTGAGAGAGTCTTCGCGTGTTTCGAACCGCATCGACGTAGTCGACGGCGATTTTCCGCGCGGAAGCTCGCGCATTTCTTTCCATTCTTCTTTCCTCTGCGGCAATCCAAAAAATGCACGAACGATAACGCCCGCGGTTATCCCGAATGCTAGGAAATCGATCGTGCGAACAGCCCGCTCGTCGATTTCTCTTCCCATGCCGTCTTACGACGGAACAATGAATCGACGCTTTCCTCCGCGAAGACATTGTACCCTCTTCGTGTGTTACTTTCATCCCGTGAATTCGTGGGAAATTATGCGCATACCGCCCGAGTACCAATAACTCCTTAATGCCTCAGCTGTCCTCATTTCATTATTTCATTAGAGCGTCTGAAATTCTTGAAAACCGGGCACGAAGGCGCGGGCGAAATTGCGGCTAGCGTGCAATCGGAAGCGCCTCATTTCAACCCTTAACCTCGCGCGTCTGCGCGCGTGATAAGTGCGATTATTTCCTGTCCTATAATTATTTCTCAGGAAAGCTCTCTCAATCGACTCATCGTCCGCAATTCCTTGACGCGAACATCTCACTTTCCTGGGATACATTTCGACAACGTTGTAAAATGTTGCTCACAATGTATTATTGAAATCTCTTTGAGTGGAATTTCACTCAAAATAAGTGAAGAATTTTGATTCGAAGCGATAATACTGCCACTCGAAATCGCGGAAGAGTGAATATTTCACTCGACCTCAGAGTGAATTTTCAATCCGTACGAATGAATATTTCAGTCGATCAGATTGAATTTGTTCCCGTGATGGTAGAATAGATCATGCTCGCTCTTTGGTTTCGAGTAAAAATATCCGACTCCACAATTCAGAATAGAGAATTCGTTCGATTCGAGTGAAAAGTCACTTGAATCCGAATGACTCGGCTGTCACTCTACTTTTCAGGTGAAATTTCACTTCGAGAAATTTAGAGAGTGGACAAACCCGCATATAACAGCCGTAACGTTTACAGGGCCGCCGGAAATTTTGTTGGAGATTTTCGACCACATGAATAAAGAATTTCGGAAGAGCGTTGTTCTCAGGGAAGAGTCGACAGATGCAAAACACTCTGAGAATGACGCGAGAATCCCAATGACGAATTTACCGGTCGAAAAAAGAAAGCTCTTTTAATGCGACGATTAAGAAACTGATCACGTATATACACGCGAGGGATCGAGAGGGGATTCGACCGCTTGGTGGATTTGCGTTCGCGCAAAGGCCCTTGTTCGACGCAAAGGGCGTGCGTGTCTCGGCATGTGGTCTTACGATTAACGTTCGCCGCGCACGATATATACTTCGTGACGATTTTTATGTAACCGTGATCTGTGTGTTCGTATCGACACCTGATTACACCAACAAATCCGTCGTGAGCAGTAACGCACGGTATATTACTTCCACTGCTTTGCAACTGATAACAGCCTGGAGTCAGGATTTCATTCTTACGAATTTTCGATCCCTTTGGTCCCTCTATTTCTCTCTCGACGCGTCCCTTTAATCGTCTTTTTAATCTAGCGCATAAGATTGCCAATTATAATCGAAGGAGATGGATATTTTAGTGTCGTCGAGGAGATACGCGCGAGCTCCTTTCCTTGATCAAATCATGTGGGAGGTAAAGCGCGTAAGACGCGTTAACGCGATCGGATAATTCGCGATAAAAAAAAAAGAAGGAAAAAGAGAGAGACGCGATGTAGAGAACAGGGTCGTGTTAACTTTTACATTTAGGCACCGTCCACAGCGCGTTTCACGCGCCAACGGACGGCGACGAGCGGGGAGATCATAGATGATCGCAAATTGTCCGCAATTGGCAGGAAGTCGAGGCAGGGGGACCGTTTGTACGCCCCTTCGCACTCTCCTCGACGTACATTATTTTCACGCAGCCTTTCATTTAGCCCGCCGAAATTGATCTCGGCTGCCGATTAATTCCTTCGTGCGACATGTGTCTGTGAACGCTCTTTTCATCATACCTCGGTTATGTGGACTAATTATACCCAAAGTCTGCGATTTATGCGGCGGCCACGCTGCTTAAGAGAACGGGGAAGGGAGAGACTTAATGTCACACACATACAGATATCGGAATTTCTATAATAATGCAACACAGCCAGTCGAGATAAAAATACGAGTGCACTCCGCGGTGCATGTAAATATACTTCGGGCTGAAACGTGATGGGGAGAGCTTCCTTCGTTCCGCACCCTCTGTTACTCTATTATATGCTATAAATGTCATCGTGTTCTTAACGGCTAATCCCGAAATAAAGAAAATTGCGAACATGCAACAAAGATAAAATCAACGAGTGTCCGTCATGTATCTCATTTCCACTAAAAGAGAATACATAATGGGAGATATTCCCTATACTAAAAGCAAAATATATAAAAAATATAAAAATATTTTTTCGATGAATACTCATAATAAATTGAATTAAATTAAAAATGTTAAATCTATGTTTTTCTCTAAATTAAATATTTTATTTTGATAAAATAAACAATTGTGCTTTCTCATTAAAAGCTACGTTTTTAAAAAATATATATTTTCTCGGTTGAAAACATTCCTTCTCGGTGTAAAAATATATATATATATATATCGGCGTAAGTAAATATGTTATTAGCATCTAACGAATAAATTTATTGACTTTCCTTTCACTTTAATAAAATACCTTCAGTATTCGCGTCTCTCTCTCTCTCTCTCTTGCTTCCTTTCTCTGTTCATTCTATCAGTTCGATCCCCGCAAACAGTCTTATTAAACGGTCGGCCAGTGTTCGCGACAAGTGCCACGAATATTATGACGGTGGGTGGAGTTTTGCGTGAGAGCGCGCATAGCTGACGCTTGATAAGGCGAATCAATATTATTCAATTCTGATAACAGCTCTCTCGTTGCGTCAAGTAGAAGCAGGGAACACATTAACCGCGCGACGAGCTGATAACAGATTTTCTGTCGACCCTCGTCGGATGCTCGTTGCGGAGCAGTACTTGGTCCTCCTTCCTCTCTTTCTCTCTCTTTCTCTCTTTCTTTCTCGTTGACAAATGCTGATATCGAGAAATTATTTGCGCAAATTGCAGCATCCGTGCGCGTGTGCGACTGTTATATTTACATTGCTATTAATAAGAGCGAAATCGTTAGCATGCGTGTTCACATTGCTACCGGTCTTGTGAATTTTGCCAACTAGAAGTTTAACGCTTCTTCTTTTGACGCTGGCCTCTCCGAAGAGAAACAGTCTCACTTCTCGCCTCATTCTTTCGCTAAATTGCTCGTGCCGCTAATTATGCTAATTGTGTAGGCATCGCGAGCGATCCGGCGATTTAGCTTAACGATCGATGAAGCGAAAGTTTCCAGCTGAGAAGGCGTGAGACCATAACCGACGATGTTTGCGCGGTCTGTGGGAAAAAATCGCAGGCAACATTTTCTATCCAGCGTCGTCGCTATTTTATGTAAATATTACATTTACATAACTCGTCTCGGGCAAAAATAAAATAACAGCTGAATAAAAAATATTTTTGTGTCATTGAATAGACAGAAGCGTCAGTTTCTTTCCTCGATTACGTCATATGGGAAGTAAAATACGTAGGATGCGTTAACGCAATCGGATGATTCGCAATAAAAAGGAGAAAAAGGGCGATCTTACGAAAGATAAAGAAAAAAGGGAATAAATCCAAAAGGAAAGAAAGAGATCGACGATTGACAACTTTTTTTAATGAAATCTTTAGAGAGAGAATAAAATAAACCTCACGTAGTTCGCTCGAAACTATTCCAGCAGAGTTGGAAAATTCACTTTTAAAAAGTAAAAATTCGTTATCTATTGGAAAAAGTAACTCGTTTTCATCATTATTATTCATTTTAAAAACTCGTTACCATTTTCATTACTTAAGAAGTAACAAATCGTTACAAGTTCCGCTACTTTTCACAAAATATCGGGGACTTTGTTTTTACGATTTGCCGCCGTCCATTCCATATGCATATACTTTTTATTGTATATATTCCATGTATATATATTCTACATGCGCAAAGTTACGATTATATTCGAAACGGTAACGATGATATTCATTACATTTACACAAAAAATAGAATCGTTGTGAGTGAAAAAATAACGTTGTTACTAATTCGTTATTGAAGAAAGTAGCGGTAAAATGGTGTCATAAGTAATGCATTATTTTCTAACGCCGTATGCCTATTCCGTGAACTTTGAAAGACGATGTCGTTGTTGTTACATTGTCGTTGCGCATCCTTATTACCGTACATTATATTCGCGCATAACGTAACGATAACGATACCGTCGCTGAAAGTAACAGAATGGGTCTACCGGATCCTAATCATTCTCGAGCCTCCGATATACCATCGCCGTTCACACGTACTACTCCCGCGCGGCGACCTTGACGCTATCTTCCGTCACGACTGCAAGGGTTACTTACGGGAAAAGTGATGTATGATCGAGCATGGTGTGAGCGATATGCTCGCGTTTCTTCATCGTGGGTGTCACCTCCACCTCTTCCATTTCCCTACCTTCCCTCTCATCGCGATCACGCGATCACGATCTCGATCGCGTTGTAGGTGAGCGGCCTCGTCGCGGTGGTTGCGGCTGTCCCGTTAGGGGACCTAGAAGGCACAGAAGAGGCTGTCCGCCAGTCGCGTGTCTCGGCTCGATCCCGGACATACTGGAACGGATCCTCGCTCGACGAGGATTATCCGGTCGATCGGATCAGTCAGTGATTCGGGACGATCCTTCGGATTTTCCTAGTCGACGTGCCGTTCGAGCGGAATCCACGCTCCGCGCTCGCCCAGCTCGCACGTCGATCTCTTCTCGCGTCTTCATCGCCCCCCATCTCCGTTTCTCTTTCCTCGTTTTTCTCCTCTCCCTCCTCCTCTCTCTCTCTCTCTCTGGTAGCATCTTCCCCTTCCTTCTCTTCTCACACGATCTATCCTCCTCTTCAAAGTGCTCCTCGAACGGTAGACGTAGTATTTCCTGGTGATCTGTGATGCGCACCACGAGCGGCAGGCTCTCGTGCTGATGCGCATGGTGGGTTTGTTATCAGTGATAATTATTCGGATAATATTCTCGTGACAAGGAGGAGAAGAGCAGGGGGCTCCTTCGCATGTTCGATAGAAGGCGAAAGTTACTGCGCGAGTCCGTGAGCGATCGTTAGAACACAGTAATCATTATAATCGCGTGTCTCTCTGTATTTTTTATGTAGATTCGGGAAATGGTGCTCTTTATTTTTTTTTTTGTTCGGGGCTCTCTTTGCATTCGGCCGTGCAACGCGCCGGATATGACGGGAGCGATATATCACTCCTGACCTCGCGTTCACGCAGGAAAAGAGGTCACATCGCTGTCACGTCTCTCTACGTTTTCCAGGGAACGTCGCTAGCTTCGTCGAAGTGAGGATCTGATGAAGGATCCAGTCATGGGCCGCACAGGATACACGTGCATCAGGCACGTATTCTGTTCCCTCAACGTTTTGATCTGGGTATGTATTCGTACTGTATATTTAGCCCATATTTTATCACTAGAAAATTCGACCGATACGCTCATGTCATTTGTTTCTCCTTTAGACTTTGGAATTTTCCTTTTTCTTCAGGTCGACGTCAAATTTACATGGAGACGATGCTATAGATAGTTGTATCAATAGAATTGGTTAACAACATCATAAGTAAAAGAAATCTTCTTCATTCAATAGCGATATTATTGAAGCTAACATTCAAGTTATTAAAACTGTATATAATGTCATTATATATTTATATGTTACTATATATAATGTTATTAGTTTCAATATAATTGCTATTGAATCAGGTTAAAATTGCTATTTTACTCAAATTATGGTGCTGTCGACCAATTTATACACAGGAGCATTTTTGCCACATAACGGAACAAATAAAAAACACGATTCTAGTGATTCGACGTATCTTAAGAAAGATAAGAAATCGCCATTAGCCGCTTCCGTGATGACGGCCAGACGAAATAAACGGACATATCCGCTGCTGATGCAAATGGATTAACAAGCGTGCCGTCCAAAAAGGAGCGCGCTCACGTGGGAACGTCCCGACGGGTCCCGAATGACAGTGCTTTCGTTAACGCACAATTCGTGTGTAAACACGAATGCGTTACACACGCGTGCAAATGCGCGGCCTCAATCGCTCGGGTATGACAGAAATGAGACAATAGGCGGCGACGAACAGTAACGACGGTCGACCCACGCGGGGTCGCCGTTTAAATCGACGCGCTTTTGTAATTCGCGCCGCATTCCGCTCCCCCCCCCCCCCCCCCCCC